TTGGTGCCAGCCAATGCCTTGCTGGGCGCCCAGCAAAACGAGACTGATCATCGCAGTCATCCACTCAAACCGCAACACGGGTGCCACGGTGCCACGGTGCCATGTGTTCCTGGTCATACTCTTGTACGCAGACGGGTTGATCTCCACTGGGTCGTTGCCGTGACCAGTGTCCAGCGACTTTGCACGGTTGCTTGACTTGTATTGTACCAACATGTAACTGCTCGACTTGGAACGTTTGGTAAGAATATTGTCATGATCTATATGAGTTCTCAGCACCACCTTTCCTTGTCAGTCGCCTTTTGTTTTGTTGAAACATTGGGCATCGAGATAGGTCTCGTTTCCAGACGACGTCATTCAAAGCCCTCAAGAGCGGAGACGTGGGAAAGGCCGCGGGTCCTGCTGGTAGGATGGGTTGATAATGGTTGATCCTACCTTTGAGGAATCTCGAGAACATGTTCGTACGACCTGCATCCCCTTTCCAATATATAATGTGGCTTCTTTCACCCTAGGAATAAAACGAGTTTCCGGAGGTGTTCGGTACAAGGTGAGACCCGGCAGTTGTAGAAGTTAAAGTGAAGTACAAGTTCACTATAGTGCACTATAGAGCACTATAGCTTGCTTAAGTTCCGGATAACTAAGTTGTGGATTTTATTTTTTTAAAGTAATAGTGAAGATATAACTTACTAATAACTTACTGGCGTTTTTCAGAGTATTGATTTTCAATTTTTTTCGTGAAGTTATCCGGAAGTTACTGAAAGTTATTTTTTTACCTTTTTTTCCAGAGAAAGTGCGATCTTGAAGACGAAAATTAGCAAAACGTATAACATACGAAATTACAAAAAGGCACCACCCGCGCGCACGCGCAGAAGTGTTGGCTCAGAGCAATTCGAGACGCGTCGCGCGTGGCTTGGGAGGAGCGGCAGGACCGCTGGGCGGACGAGGGCAGCTGGCAGCGGCAGGGCCGCTGGGCGGAGGCGAGCGCGAACCGGCTTGGCAGCGGCAGGGCCGCTGGGCGGAGGAGGCCGAGCACGAGCCGGCTTGGCAGCGGCAGGGCCGCTGGTGGGACACAGCGCAGGAAGCAGGTTGACAGCGGCAGGGTCGCTGGGGCGTCTGGCAGGACAACGCCTGGAACGACGCCGGCAACTGGGGTGGCTGGCGGGGTTGGGAGGGTGCTTGGCGGCCGGACCGCTGGGAGGAGGCTTGGCGCGAGGAAGACACTTGGCGGCAGGACCGCCGGCCTCCGCACGTAACGCCGGAGATGCGGCAGGACCTTGGTCGTGTATCTCGAGCTAGGTTGGTCCAAGTTGGGGATGTTCCTCGTAGTTGCCCTTCCTGACCTGTTCTGCTGTGAAGCCACGGCGCAGCCACACCTGAATGGGCAGGAAGGGCCCGCCGCGGCTCGACCGCGTCGTGCGCCGCTGAAACCGCTGCAGGGTCTCCTTGTACGCGGCCTCCACCGTCTCCCACTTCAAGCGGCTGTCGGGGTTCTGCTGCCGCTGTTCGGTGACTTGCTGGTATAGAAGGCCAGCTTCTCCTCCGAGGACAAACCCGCCGGCCACGAGAGGCCGTGGCGCTGGCGCTTTTTGTCGACCGTGCGACAGCTCTGACACGCACCGGCCTGCGGCGCTGCCGCCAGGAGCCCGCAACAGACGCAGCGCGTGTGCTCGCCTGTCTCGCACGGCGCAGCCGCCGCCTCCAAAGCACCACCAGCGGGCGGGCGGACCAGCTGCCGCCTCCAAAGCACCACCGGCGGGCGGGCGGACCAGCCGCCGCCTCCAAAGCACCACCGGCGGGCGGACCAGCCGCCGGCTCCGGCAAATCCTGCGCCAAGGTGGGCTGTGTGCAGCCACGAAGGATACGGTCCGGCTGCCCATCCTGGCTCGCCATGGCGCCAACTCCCGTTCTGCAGGCTAATCCACCAAAATGCCTGCAGCGATCGCGCGGTCGCACCGCGAACAGCGGAGAATGCCCCCGGAAGAAAAACGCCCAAGCAAACTCTGACCGGGGAGCTTATATATCTATATCCTATAAAATGGAAAAATTGGAGGACCCGGGGCGTCTCAGAGTGGACCTCAATCCGCTTCGACCTGTCGAGCGGAAACTCGAGTCAAAACGCCGAAAATCCAGGGCCCCGGAATGTCTCGGAATGTCTCGATCTGTTTCGAATTTCGAGCATTCCGAGACGTTTTTTGGCGTTTTTTTGGCTATATTTGCTTATTTATTTAAAAAGCGAGACGAAAAAACGGTCGGAAACCCGAGACATTCCGAGACATTCCGAGACGTTCCGGGGTCCTGGATTTTAGGCGTTTTGACTCGAGTTTCCGCTCGAAATTCGAAACAGATCGAGACATTCCGAGACATTCCGGGGACCTGGATTTTCGGCGTTTTGACTCGAGTTTCCGCTCGACAGTTCGAAGCGGATTGAGGTCCACTCTGAGACGCCCCGGGTCCTCGTATTTTAGAAAACCCCGCGCGTTTTTCTTCTCGATCGTGGGCGGCACCACCGCCTGCTGCAGGGTCGTCTGCGGCCCAGCCGCATCGACGTCTCCTCTGTTGCCGGCGCAGCAGACGTTGAGCTGTCAAGCCTGCGAGCCTTGTGTCGCTGCGCGGTGGCAGTTTCGCGGCTGCGGTCGTGCCGCTCCCGCGCCGCGCCGGACTGGGAAGCCGCCCTCGAGCAGCTGGCGGCGGCGCAGGCCGTGCACCAGCAGGCCTTCCACGCAGCGTACCCCGCCAGCGCGAGACCAAAGCACCAGTATATAGGCTACACCACCCAGAGCAACTCCGGAACCTTGGCCACTACGTCGACATGTTCCCGGTGGAGGCCAGCCATCAGCGGTACAAGGGGTCGACTGCCGATCACTACGCACATCTGGTGAACCGCGCGGGGGGCGCGCTGTCCACAGGCGTGCTGTGGCGATACCTGCAGGATGCTCTGCTGGCGGCAGAGGGGCCGCCCGTCGATCCCGACAACACGTCCTGGCGGCTGGAGCCGCCGCTCATGGCGGAGGGGTCGGAGCAGCGCACGGATATCCTCGCGTGCTGCGGCGTGACTCGCGGCGCGTCCTCACTCCTCGCGGCTGGGCCGCGGATACTGCAAGCGGGCGACCACCTGCGCGTCGGTGACGCGGTGTATGTGCTGGAGGGTTTCTGCCACGACTTCAACACCGCCAAGATTTGGGCGGTTGCGGCGCAGATGCCGCCGGTCTCTGGCGACTGGACGCATTGCCGCTGCGGTCCGCCGGCGGCCATGAGGAGATTGGAGTTGCGGTCGGGCCGCTCGCCTCCCGTGTGTTCGTGGTGGCGCCGCGAGGGTGAACACAGCGTGGTGCTGCTTGGGTAACCGCAGCAGCCGCGGCGCAGAGCGCGGCAGACAACAAAGTCCGCGGCAGGGCACCGCGCGACGGAGGCGTCCCACGCGCGAAAAAAAAAATCCGCGAGCGCGCGGTCGGTGTATACAACGATATATATATATATATATACGCATATGTATCACCCCTAGGCTCCTCTTAGTCTATTAATAAACTATTTTAGAGATGATAAGATAATAGTTTATAATAAGATATATGTATATAGTTTTAAGATTTTAGATGATAAGATATATATCTTATCTTCGCTGATAGTACATATCTTATTTTTAGTGTTTTTTGTAAAACTTGTACCATATGTTAATGGTTAATCGTTGTTTGTTCCTTTTGAAAAAGGTTTCGGTCTTTTAGAATTTTCCAAATTTTCAAGTATTGACATGTTTTTTGGAGTGTTTCTAGGGGTTCAGTCCGCAGTTTTCTTGAGCGTTCATTGAGAGTTTCCAGGGTTTTACTTGAGAGTTTCCATTGAGAGTTTGTTGAGTTTTCTGGAAAATGTTGATGGAGAGTTTCTATAGGGGGTTCATTCCAGAGGAGTTTCGAGAGTTTTCTTCAGAGTTCCATGGAGAGTTGATGGTTTCTAGGGGGTTCAGTTTTCTTCAGAGTTTCCATGGAGAGTTGATGGGTTCCCTGAGAGTTTTCATGGAGAGTTTCTAGAAGTTTTGTGGGTTTTTCTTGAGCGTTACTGAGAGTTTCTGGAGGGGTTTTGAGAGTTTTCTTCAGAGTTTCCATGGAGAGTTGATGGGTTCCCTGAGAGTTTTCATGGAGAGTTTCTAGAATTTTTGTGGGTTTTTCTTGAGCGTTCATGGAGGTCTGAGAGAGTTTTACTGAGAGTTTTGATGGAGAGTTTCTGGAGGTGTTTTGAGAGTTTTCTTCAGAGTTTCCATGGAGAGTTGAGAGTTTTCCTGAGAGTGTTCATTGAGAGTTTCTTCAGGGGATTCAGCCGGATGAGTTTTGAGAGTTTTCTTGAGCGTTTCCATGGAGAGTTGAGAGAGTTTCTTGACTTTTCACGGAGAGTTTCTAGGGGATTCAGACCAGAAGGTCTCGCCATAGCCCAGATCATTGCCAATATGATCAGCCAAAGAGGCTTGGGCAAGGGCAAAGGCAAGGGTAAAGCGCAAGAGGGCGGGTACAACGCTACAGGACCTGCAGAACAACAAGACGATGCCGATTCCGATGGGGTTTCTGGGGGCTCAGGCGATGTATGTGAAGATATGGCAGCCGGTGCACATGGAGCTCGCCCTGTTGCGACAGGCAAGCCGATTGCAAAGCCGAAGGCCAAGAAGTCCAAGAAAAAGGCCAAGAACTAAGTTCTTGAGCTCTTGAGTCCAATCAGTGTGCGGGTTCCGAAACCACGCGTGGGTTGGCAAGATGCCAGGTCTGTCCAGACAGCAAGAAAATTGCCAAAAGAGTCACTTAGCACATGCATGTTGATGATTCTGGTGATTTGCTCTGCTTTGCGAAGCAATTACTCTGACTGGCGGGAGTTTCTGGGTGATTCAGCGCGCGCAAGTTTTGACAGTTTTCCTTCAGCGTTTCATACAGGGTTTGCCAAGCTTTGCAGATTTGTTGCGATTAGCATCATTAGCATTTTTTCTGGATCAGCAGCGTGATCATGCCAATGCTTCCTCCAAAGCTATGGCACAAGAAGAAGAAGAAGACCCCGGATGCTGTGTGCAATCGCCAGTTATGCTGCAGAGGCAGCTGTCCAGCAGGGTGCCGATCCGCAAGCTGCAGCTACACATCGCCTATCTTCGCCGCAGTGCCTCTTGCACGCATTTAGCACACGCAGGAGAATTTGGAGAACTTATGTTTGAGAGTTCCGTCCAGGAATGGCTGAGCGCACGCGCGCTGGCCAAAGAACTTGAGCGGGTCCTTCGGAGAAGGAATGGCAGACCTTCGACAAGTTCAGGTTCTGACTGAGCGGTGCGATGTGCAACCTAATTCAACTATAGCTTGCTTGAATACAAGCAGAGTCCCCATGTGCATGTGCAAAACATGCTATGCGCACAAATGTGGGAGGAAGGATGGTAGCAATTTTCTTAGCATGTTGATGAACTATATCGATGCACTTTCCCTGGCCATGTTTCTGAGAGTTTCTTGAGAGATCCCATGAGCCGTTTTTTTCGGGCCTTCCAATCTTGTGTTTCAGAAGTGAGACATATACTTTCCGTAAACTGTTTGAAAAAGTTTGGAGAGTTCCAACAAAACACATGAACAAACATATCAAACTTTATGGGTAGATCCTAAAATCATACTTTCAAAATAGACTAAAACTAAGACCTTTTTCGTCTATCACAAAATAGTACATTTCTTAAAATAGACCAAGAGATATCTTATCAGCGAATAGACTAAGAGGAGCCTAGGGGCAAAGGCTATATCAAAAGAATGGGGGGGAACTTCCTGTCCCTCAGCCGATCGAAAAATATTCAAAATATATATACTTGTGCAGAAAGTTATAGCCTAAAGTATCAAGAAACAACGAAAAGTGCATACAGTCCACGCTGAAAACATACACAGATTTGCTCGTTTTGTACATAAACATACATTTTCCCAAAAGTTTGATTTTGGAAAGTGTTTTAGCTATCTGGAAGTTATCTCGAAGTTATTTTCATTGTTTTTTCAAAAAAATAACTTCAAAATAATTTATACAAGTGCAAGTTAACTTCAATAGAGCCCGGGTCTCACCTTGTACCCGCTGGCCCATTCTGCAGTTCCTGCTGGGCTGACTGCTCGCCGAGGATGGAGCTGTTCTTGGCTCAGGAGTCAGACGTTCATCGACGCATCTTTGGTCCACACCTCTACAAGCAGTTTTTGGTACGCCGAGGGGGGCGCAGGGTGAGGAAGTGGCGGAGAATGAGTACCGAAGAGTGGACAACCGTTAGCCTTTTTGTGGGAGTCAGTTCCCCACAAAATATGAACAGATTGGGAACAAGTATGAGAAGAACTAATATCTTTTATTCCAGAGAATCAGGGTGCAATCGAATTCACTAGGTGATGCAGTGATGCGCATGAAACATGTTCGGGGGAACCGCTTGAACACATTGAAAGAAAAGGCCTTTCACAAAGTTTGGCAAGATTGGCCCTAAAGGGAAATCCACTTGAGGAGCATCAGTACCACACATCAAATGCGAAATTTCCCATCCCACTGCTCATATGTAGCCGCCTAGCCGCTGTTGGCCATAGACCTCCCCAATCCTTAGGCCTGATCTACTATCAGTCCGTTGATTCATATTTTGTGGTTAAGCCAACCTTACAAATTGGGGGACACGTGGCGCACCCATGGAGACGCGAAGAATCGTCGGAAGACTCCACGAAACTCGAGCCAGGCCATGAAGGAAATCCTGCTGGCGGGCGACACGAACCGCCTGGTGGCAGAGCTCACATTTGTCCCTTGGACGCACCGAAGAAGCTCCTGACACCCACCTTCGATCCGCTGGCACCAGCCGACCGGAGAGGCTTGGAGCATTGGGTGGAGAAGCTCGGAGGTGGCTGGAACGAACAGTGATTTGTGGATATCGACTTGCACAGCCCAAACACTGCGAAAAGTCGTAAACAAGGTCTTTGTGCTTTGGTCCGCGTGGAAGAATCATCAGGACCATCACGGGGAAGCGCAGTCCTCTCGGCTTCAGGAGTCGAACAACGGTTCCACAAGCCTGAAGAGCATCGAATCCGGCTTTTTGGAGGGGAGGCATCCAACACAATTCGAGATGTTCTGTATCTTTTGGTTGACTTGGAGTGTGATTTCCGCATCACTTGCATCACTACAGTCATACTACAGTCGGGGTCATCAGGAGCAATTGGTTTCTGGAAAACTGTTGTTCTGGAGAAATGTTGCTAGATCTCCCCTTCAGGGGCTTCTGCCCATGCAAGATATCGGTGTTGCAAAGTCACGGCCCACGGACCATCTGAGGCGAAGCATGGCGAAGCGGGTGACCACTTTGGGGGCTTCCAAGAAATGACCAACGGTACTTGAAGACTCACGAACAGCCTCACCTTGGAGTCGTAAACCCTCCATGACGATCATGACGACCAAGGCTGCATCTCGAAGTCTGACTCAGAGTGGCCAAAAGGGGTTTCAAAAAAATACCAGCCTCAGCGGTACTCAGATTTACGATCGATGTTCCAACTCAAGAACTACCCCACCTTCGACGACCAAGGAGGTTGATCTAGGGAGCTTTTGAGGTGTAAGTCTGATTCAGGATGCCAGTCCACCCACGCATCCAGCTTTCTTTTTCTTTCTCATGTGCCAAAGACGGTCGTCCGCGGCCGAGTGTGCATTAAATTCCTAATTGGCATTCGGGTCCATTCCGCAATAGTCCATGCCCATTTCAGCATCTAAGTTGAACTCACTGGTAAGCTCATCGCAAACATGAGTAAACCAGGAAGGCACTGGCAGGTCACTTGCGGAACTGGGCTGGCTGCTCACGAAGATCTCCCCCAAGACCGAACAAAAGGCCTCAGGGTACTCCTTTAAATGAGCTGTCTGCCACGCCCCTTCAACATTCTTGCCGATCGAGGTAGCCTTAGGCACCTCTGAGCAGCGTGCATTCAAAAGCATCTGCTCGGCATTATCACAGACGTTCACAAGCATGAGCTCCGTTGGTTTCGCAGAAGAAGCTTTATAGTGCCCCTGCAAAACTCGAATCTTTCGACACGTGGAAAAACGGAGCAAAAGTCGCAGGATGGCCAATTTCCAAATGGAAGGCTGACTCAGATCATGCAGATCCTCTGCTGGATGTTCCAAGATCGCTGTCTTGGATGTCAGCGCGGCCAAGAAGAGCATCCTGATCGCAACGCCCAGGAGTCGACTGCCTAGTCGGACTTGGCGGTCCTCCTTCTCGGTCAGGTCAAGTCGCCCCATAGGGCGTTCGACTTGTCGAACTCGCCGAGGACCACTTTCTCCTGTAACAAGCTGACGGCCCCTTGCTCGACTCCACGTCTCGCACGGGGGTCCGCCGAGGAACCCCCAAATGACATCCTCACAGAAGGCTCGCTTGAACAGTGCGTAAGTCTCAGCTCGACACAAGTCGCCATAGGTGATGTGGAAAATAATGTCGATGCTGATCGCTCGAGCACCCAGACGTTCGACTGCCTCTTGGAAATCGCCTGGCCTTCTTCTTCCAGAGAAAATATGAGCAAAGATAACTGGACAGTATTTCGGGCTTCTTACCGGGACAGGAGGAAAAGCATCCAAAAGGCATGATTCTTTTTCAATCAATTGGACATAGTCGATTTCATGCTCCTTAGGAGACATGAACTCCCCAAACAACCAAGATCGAGAAACCGCTTTGTCAGCCTCTTGCAAGGCCAAAATTTGCTGAATACTTCCCTCTTCAGACTCCTGCAGATGGTGCTTGAAAGATTGGATCACAGTCTTCATCTCGTCCACATAGAGAAAGCTTGATCCCAAAGAATCACGAATGATCTCCTTCAGGTCATCTTGGCCAACTCCTGAACGCACCGCTTAGCCCAACAATTCGAGAGTCGGAATTTTTCTGCATCAATAATTGGGTCGAAAGGCATTGCTTCACTGACTGGCTGCACAGGTCCTTCTGCCTGGAAATAAGGATCTGCCATGTCCCGGTCATTTTTGCGTTCAATGCGACTGTTCAGTCCTGGTGCAGGATCCAGCATGCAAGGTTCTACCGCATAACTTTGGAGGCATCGTGGCTTTCGCTTCACGTGATTGATCAAGTTGATATTTGACGAATAGTGTTTCAGGCATCCTTTGCACTGTAGTCCTTCAACATAGTGCCTGGCAAGATTAACTCGCCCATGGCACTTGAAGGAGTGAACAGCTACTGCCGATTTGCTTGCAAAATCAAGCCTGCACTTTGCACAAAAGAACTCTTCATGGGCCCTTGAAGCCACATCTCTACCAATCAAACCTGCCTCAATCAAATCTACCACAATAGCCTTATGCCAGTCCCGCCATTCATGGACGCGTGCAGCATGGGCTTTTGCCCGCTCCACAGCTCTTCGGATCAGACTCTTCCAGGCTTTAGGTCGCTCATTTGCCCACCAACAAAGATGTTCCCATTCTTCAGGCGTTCCGTTCGGAACTTGGTCCTCCGGACAGAAAGACTGAAGCCAGACAAGGTCGTCAGCAACTTTGCCGAACCAGGATTTCTCTTCCTGCAGGAGACTCCAAACATGTGGTTGCCCTGATCGAATGAGCTGTGCAATGTATCGAAGGCGCGCCTCTCTGAGAATCACCTCACTGGCTGGCAGATTGAGGGCCGCTCGCGCTTGAGATCCGCTCCAGTCAATGGCATCAGCACCGTAGTGCATGACTGCAATTCTCTTTTCCAATTTGGTGAAACCCGCCTCCATTTGCCTCTGCTGTTTAGCAGTACGCGGCGCCCAGACAGCACAATTGAAAATCATAGTGCTGTAAACCAGGCTCTTCACCATGCGGGACTTATGGGTCAAAGACAGTTTTCGGTTGCAAAAGATCTGTGTGCGGAAACGAGTCAAAACATCATGCGCGACAGCGAACTTGCTGCTCAGATCTCGTACCATAGATCCGCGCTTTTGAATGATCGTTCCAAGATGCTTGTAGTGTCCAACTATCAAAAGCGGCTCTGAAATCAAGTCAGACTCTAACCGAAAAGTATTGTCTTGCCTGGAGAGCTGTCTCTTCACATCAACAGCACCAGCGCCTCGAACTTCCAGAAATAATTCAGTCTTTCCCCGAGCCATATTTGGCGTCAAACCGGCAGTGGCTAGATGGTGAAGGACCAGATTGCAAATCTGGGGAATCACTTCACACATCACAGTCGGTGATGGGTGCCAAAATGCCAAGGAGATATCGTCTGCCCAAATCGGCAAGACTGGGCCAAGCAGTACATTGTCAGCTCCCAAATCTGGGTGCGGACTTCGCGAACCATTCCAACTCAAATTAAGAAAAGGAAAGCGTTCTGTCAGCAACCGTTCAATGTTGCCCAGGATTTTCGATAAGGCGAAGCCAAACGAGATGTCGGCCAACGAGTCCCCAGGTCGGCTTCCACGCCGTGTCCACGTCAGCTTTTGACATCCTTCGACTGCAAACCATGTCGCTTCATAAAATTCGCGAAACAAGGAAGCATGAAAGGCGCTCACCGTACAATCATCGAGCACCGGCCCCTCAACAAAATGTCTGCGAAATTCCTCAAACACCTCGTCAGGCAGATGCATGCTTCGAAACATTGCACGCACATCCCGAGTGTCTTGCAGGGATGTCGTGATATGTCCGCGTAGCAGTCGATAAAAAGCATTCTGAATGTCGATGAACAAAATCGCAAAGGAGTTCTGTCTTCGAATCGCAATGCTATGACTCAGATGCAAAGTGTGGCTGGCTTGGACCGTCGTCTGTCCCTTGAGCCCGCCAATCTGAAGTGGCAAACGCTTGCAGTCAAACCACCTTCCGAGTTCCTGCCGATAGATCCCGTGGAGAAGCTTGCCTATTGGGCTAGAAACAAAAAGCGATCGAAAATTTCGGCAGTCACTTGGGCTGCCTTTCTTGAACATTGGCACTAGTCTGCCGCCCTTGAAAAGGAGTGCTTCACGTTGCCAAACTGTCTCTTTGAGAAAGAGCGGAAACAGCACCTGCGCAAAAAGGGCTGGGAGTTGTCGCAGGACATCTCCTGGTACTTCGTCATAAAAGAAAGCTTTTCCGGAGGCCGTGTTTCTCAGTGCTTGTTCTAATTCAGCCAAAGTGGGTAGCTGATCCCAACACGGCAAGACTGCTTTTCTACGCGGGATTTCCTCATTCATATGAATCAATTGTTGTGGAGTCATCGGCACACCGTCCTCTTGATCGGCAAAATGGCTTCGCCATCGCTCAGCTACTTGTTCAGTAGTCTCAAGGACTTCACCATGAACTCCTTTCACAAGGGGCAAAGGAAGGACAGAAGTTTGCTTTCGCCGACTATGAACCCCCCCACTTTCGCAGCTCTGCTGCAAAAGCTTTGGCATTGAGAGTGCCTGCTTGCTCTCCGATAGCTTCCAAAACCTTCGTTCTATCAAATTTGAGCCCTTTACAAAGTGATCTGGACAGAGACGCTGCCTCACTCCGCAGAGCCAGAATTTGGAATATCAGTTGCAGTCCATCGAATGCGATCTTCGCCGGTTGAAGCCAGGTGTGGCCCCGCCAACATTTCCATGCATGATGTAAGGTCAAGTTGACAGCCCAAGCCTTCAAATTCTGCAAACGCGCTCTAACATGCAACCGCTTTTTCCGCACATTCCAAGTATCATCTGAAATGTAGCTCTTGCGTGGCCCTTTCCGGCCACAAGGAAAAGAGGCTACAAGCCTTTCCCGAACCCATGATGTGACTGCCATGGCATGTTGATCGACATGCATGCCCCACGGGCACTTTGGAGGATTCGCAAAGATTCGCTCAAGCTCAGCTTTATCTGCCTTTTGCAAAGCGTTTCTGTCGAAAGATGGCCGGCGAACACTGCGAGATGCCATTTGATGAATCTCCAAATCCAAAGCAAGAGGAACATGATCTAATCCCTTAGCTCCAGAGTCGATACATGAGTTGGGATAGGTGCAAACCTGGGCAAGACAAATAGTCTGTGGCAAGATGAAATAATCACAGCGTGCCACCTCTCCATTGGCATTGCTATGCCACGTTCCTGTTTCCCCGGAATGACAATCTGCGAAAGTTGTAGGGAGCATCCCTTGTATTGCAGCAAGCAATCGTGTGAAGCACTCCCCTGCGAAGTTGGCTCGTTCTTCCAAACCACAACTTCCAACCATTGGCAGATGTTCAGTATCGAAGTGAGCATTTGCGTCAATCCCCCCAACATAGCCACGCATCCAGCTAAAGCATGAACTTCCACTGGCTTTCGCTTCCCCCTTCTCAGGTACAATGTTCAACCTTTACCTGACTCAATTGACCCTTTTTCGTGTGAAACTTCAACCAAGAAGACGCAACGCCCGGCTGGGTTTTTCACAAAACGGACCACGGGTACCCTCGAAACGTGTGATGTTGGACAGACCATGAATGACCCATGGTACTTACACCATGGGAAGATTCTCTTTAAGCCTGAGTACTTGGGTGCAGTTTGATTTTCCGGGTTCCGTCCCGCAACCCTCCTTCGAAGCATCCAGGTTCGGATCAATGATCTGGCGGCGCCTCCCGAACCGCTTCATCCATTGATGTGTTTCGGCACCAGAATGGGATCCACTGCCGCCTGACATTGCTTGGTCCCTCCCTATCATAGAAAGAGGGGGGGGGATGTGCAGGGTTTTGAGGCTGGCTCGGTCGCATCTTTGGGCGCTGCACAGACGAGAGGGGGGTCGAGAGGACCACGAGGTACCTTGACCACATAGTTGACCACACTCTTTCACCTTTCAATCTCGCACTATCTCGCACTTCTTAGTTGAACAGTGGGGTCTTTTTCACACCCAACTGGGCCGTTCCGACTGGAGACGGATTTGCTGACAGTTTCATTTGAAGGGGAATGTTTTTGTCACCAAAGATGACCAACCTCCCAGCCTTTCCCTCTCTCCCTTTGTCTTGTCTTTAACATACCGCAGCGCCTGCAAAAGGTATGTTGAACCATTTGTCGCCTTCCTCATCATTTGCAATGGAATCATGAGCCTCAGCCGCAGAGAGTGGTCCATGGGACACTCTGTAGCATGCTGACGGCATCTGCAACGGCAGTGATGGAGTCTGCCAGAAGGCAGATGCATGGGAGGGATCATCAAAATTGATAAATTGCTGTTAGTACGGTGGACTCTCCCAACCTAGATGCTTACTCACCAAGAGTCTTATGTCCAAAAGAGGAACAAGTGTGTTTCACAATCTTGAAGTAATCTTTAGACATGCATTCACAAAGTCCCAGTGTGTACCTGAGAAATTGTTGATCATTGTGGTTTCCTTTAGCAACTTGGTTCCATGGGTCATGCCAAGCAGCGGAATGTTCTCCCAGTCCTTCGCGATGTTTACATGCGGGTTGGGGGACAACCGTATGACAAAATCATATTTTGGGTAGGCCACTCCCTGGTGTTTTTGTTCCTGTAGAGGGAAGGGAGGCCAGACCATGACCATACCAATAGGTTCTTGCCTGTAACCATAGATAATCCTCACATGTATAAACTATGCAGTTTGCCAAATAGAAAGACTTGGAGTTTCACATTGGACGATGTCCTTTCACCTGTGGCACCTGTTTGGGTTTCGTTTTTAGAACCTCTCAGTGTCGCTCGTTTCGTTGAAGCAGCACGTCCAAGCGGTAACAGGGTAGCATCCACTGAGAGCAATTCCACCCCACAGATCTTTCAGGACTTCGTGAATGTACAATGACAGCTGAATCAATTGACAACATGTTGTCTTCGTGCTTGCAGCTGTAGTTGCTGTATCACCTGTGACTTACACAACAAAACACGTATTGTAGCACTAGCACTTTTATGTTGTATTACAGTAGCCTTCTTTCACATGTTTGGACCAGTTCCAACTAGCTGACTGCTCCAAGGAAGAGGAGTGTTCCTGCTTCCAGACCGCAATCACAGTAGACATCATCCAACCTTGATGTTCAAGCCCTGGCAACAAAGATGTTGACCAGATTAAATAGATTCAAACTCCTATAGTTGCACGACGATAGGTACATCCCAATATAAACGGAATCTGAAACACGTTTTGAATACCTATGTTCACAAGGTCTTGAGTTTCATTTGTTATTAAATGTGGATGTCGATATGTATTATACAAGAGTACCTCTCAAGCCCAAAAGATTCACCATAGTGACGTGTTTTCACTACTATTCAAAATCAAAGGGCTTGGGACATCAACCAAAGTTGAGACGGCTTGGGTGACAATATATATATATATATTAGATATATGATATATGTGTTTTTCTCACGTGGACGTGCACCGATCCTGAGACAAACCATTTGGGACCTATAGGTCTTAGGCAGACAAGAGGTCCGAAGTTCGTCCGGAGATCCCTCGAACCAAGAACTGTTCGATTGCATCGCGCAGAATTGGTTGAGGGCATCTGAGTCCTTGGGTTCTGGGTGTAAGAACTAGTTCGTAGCCGTTGCCACTGGGATATACTATCTGAATCAGATGCATCATCTATATAATCAGTTCTCCCTATATCTAGAGATTTGCTGGATGCAAAGGGAAACAAAAACTACCACAACTATGACACCTAATGTTTTGCGATCTTTTATGAAAGCTGCCAAAATGGACGTGTTTGATAGAGCACTAATATGTATTCGTAGTCATTGTGATCCTAGTTTGTTTGACTTTTGTAATTGCTTTCTACGTGAGCTAAGGTCACTAAAGTCGAGTTTATTGTGTGACAATTATGTGTGTAAAGTTCCCTAGTTCTTGCATTTTCTTGTTTTAGACTCATGTTCCTGCTGTTTTGCACTTAATAATCCTATATCGGCGGTGTAAACTTAGTGAATAGTGGCATGTAGCCTTCAGCAGTGTTGCCTCTTGCTACATGGCTAGGGGTGTTGCTTCAGTAGTCGAGTCATAAGCAGTAAACACAAAATTGAATGCTATAGTTTGTTTTATATAACATTGCAGAAGCCCGCTCAACCGTTTGATATGTTGACACATACTGTACTCAGAACGGTCAACTCAAATCTAAATGGATAGATACGAATGAACATGTTATTTGATACCAGCAGTAAAGTTCAGCTGTCACCTCATGCTCATACTGATGGGAATGAAGAATACTTAAAATCACAAATTATTCAAGTACGTTCCTTAGTAGACGAACAAGACACTACTATACTGGTATAAGGGAGGCAGTGCAGAAACAATTCTGGTCCTGACAGATGTACAATGTAGAAGCTAATTCCTCAAAAAGACTGGTCCTTCCATATTTATTGAGTTCTTTAACGCTGTAATTTGGGTTCTGGATCAGAAACAAAAGCCATTCAAAGAGAACGGGCTGACAAAGAGGATAGATGTGACGGAAAAGCATATGGAACAATCATTGCAGGGGGTATGTTTAAATCTAAAGGTCTATGGCTGCAAATCCAATACTTTTTTTTGTTGCGCGTAGCACATAGTCCTTGATTCAGAAAAATTGGTCACACATCGCAATCACCCATACCAATAAGTTTCTGAAGTCTAGCATGTGAATAATATATACAGTATTACAGTTGGACATGCAAGCAGCATACAAGCAAGTAGCTTTTGGGGGTCTATCCATGTTACACATACATGCTCATTTGACGTGTGGTTCTCTACCCTGAGAGTCATTTGGTTGCAAGGACCAACTGAACATGAATACCAATGAGAGAGTCTTGTGACATTTGTCCTCATTGCCTGGTGCCAATCTACGTATGGCTATTGGGATGTCAGCTTCCCATGGCATTGCGGTGTTTGGTATTGATCCACAGCTACTGTATTTGTCTTCTGCCGTCTACGTTCACCGCAGGGTTGCTTTGCAAACCTGCAAACCAAAAGGAGAGAGAATATGCTAATCACTGTTGCCTTGTCCCCGTTTTCTGTCACAGTGCTCAGTACCAAGGATTGGTTTGCAGACCTATGATGAACTTTCAGTCTGGGTCGGCCATGTCCCCAGTGCTTTGCGGACCTTCTGCGCAGCGTCACTGGTCGGCCATGCCCCCCAGATTGATAATAACAAACACCGTGGCGTTTTCTATCAGTATCAGCCAGGTGGCACAGCTTGGATGGAAAGCTCTTCCAGTTGTTTTGTTTGGTTCACGCACATGTTGACACACAAGCTGAGACTCAACCACCCTCAACATGTTCACATGGGTTCCTTTTTGCCGGCAGCCGAAATGTGGTCCCCCTTGCTGCATCAAGCTGCGCGGGGTCAGGAACAATATGTGTGTAAGTAACTGATATGTATATAGTGTTGTACAATTATGTAGAAATTCACACAGCACCCTGGCACCCTAGAGAACGGGACATGACCCTATTGAAAGAAGTCTATCCAGGTCAGGTACTTATTATTGGAGGGTCCAGGAATGCAATTTGTTTCCAAATGTTAGCAAGATCGGAATTTGTGTCTCCCTGCAACCACCCAGTACTTGCAAACATGGATGCAAGTACCTGTTCTTTTATGCTATGTGTTTCAAAGTTTCAGATTTTTCCACTACGAAGTGGGCCGAACTGAGGCTGGACCAGCCTGGAGATCGTGTTTGCCGCCTTCCTGGTGCTGGAGATCATTCTGCGCATGCCTGGCATCCAAGACCTCTTTGGGAAAAAAAACAAACCGATCCGCCCAAGAAAACACAGGGCATCGGTCAATGCGTGGTGTATCATCGGATTTTGCTGTTGTTTTCTCATGTTTTTGTTGGCCCCAGATTCAGGACGTTTTTGTGGTTTTCAAGTTTTGCATGGCCATGTAATGATGCAATTATATATATGATTGAACATGTAAATGTGCATGAACATGATAGCCTCATGGATTGGCCACGCAATTTAACAAGGCCGTCAAACTTTACAGCCTCTTACAGTGATCAACAGTTTTTGTGCATGCCCGTGTATAGAATTCTTACGTTCGTGGATCGTGCGTGCTTTGTAGCGGTCGCAATGCTTTGTCGAATGCACATTGGCCCCTTCGATACCATCTTCCTACCGTTTGTCATGAGATATTCCAGGTCTTTTGACGCTTCTTGATGAGAGTTGTAGTGGGTATATAGTGAGTAGCTTTCTGATTATGATTATCATATGAACAAAGTATACAAGGTCGTCAACATAGGTTAACAAATTCCAGATCTCCAAGCGCACACTTCCAGAGCATCCTTTGCTGCCAACTTGGATGGTCAATAGCTGCTGGGTAGTCTTATGGAACTTATGGACCTTCACACATGTGGTGTTGCAAGAATCACATGCCTCGAGCATGTTCATCCAGATGAGCCAGACATTGGCACCCTGGCGCAGCCGGAAGTGTTCAAAGTATGTTGAAATGGACGTCATCACGAAAGGTAGCTTGAGCTACCTGAGTTCTCCTTGCTTTAGCAAAAATGTATTACAATCAGGAGTTGGGATTGTGCATTGAGTTTGGTCCTGTAAGAGTTGATTCTGTTTGTCGGGGGGGGGGGCCCCCCTGGATCAAATCCCCCCTGCGCCGGTTCACGCCGTCATGGACTTTTATCAGGGTTGCTTGTGATTGCCTGCTACCTTTCGTTCACCCCCTCCTCTCTCAAGTTCCTCCGAAAGAGTCGCACTGAAGCGGGGTTAAATTCGCACAACATCAATGAAAGGCAGCCGCGGCAACAGCTGTGCCCTGTTTAAGTTTTGTGTGTCCAGTAGCCTTTCTTGTAGAAACCTTAAATTAACCCTTAGAATACAGTACTGTATATATATATATATGTTTAGTTTGGTCCAGGGTTGTTTGCGAACGATTCTGAGGATATAGCACTGGAGAACATGGCTAGCTGCCTTACAGTCATAGTCATGGGCGTGTGTTTTCGATCGCCCATTGGCCAGCTCATGCATTTAAGCCATTTCTGAAGATCCATCTCATTTAAGTTGTCAGGATGTGTTAGTATCGAACTCTTGGAGATTTGGACCTCTGGATATTTTTAGGGAGTTCTTCATTTCGTTGGACCTCATGACCTCAGGCACTTGCTGGGCTGTTCCACCTTCTGGTGCGGTGAAGACAAGCTGTGGAATTTGCCACTTGGAAGAGACACGCCTGGGCAGGAGGCTGGTCTGGTCTGACGAAGAAGACCCAGTCCAGTTGAACATGAGAGTGGGTCCAGTCCGGGCTCCAGTCCAGTCAGAGCTTATAGCATTTTGCACTCTGGTTCTTCGGGCTCTGGATCCTCCACTCCCTGCTAGGACCCTGCTTGACCGGTTCACCGTGCGACCACAACAGTAGTCAGTAGTCGGGCTGGGTCACCAGATGGTTCCGACGAAGCCGCCTGCCGCCTGGGTGGTCAATCCTGTTCAAGAGATTTGCAACAGCCACACTGGAGCGTCCTTGCTCCTAGTAGTATGGCCAGGAGCCCCTAGTAGCGTCCTTGCTCCGCTAGTAGCGATGCCCTTTGCTCCCAGTAGCGTTTACAGGTACTTCACACTGGAAACAATAAAGTGTTGTTTGTTCTCAACAAGTAGATACTCTGGAGAATGAGACTTTTGCCACTGAGGTAGTGCGATGGACAGGGCTATGTTGTGGTGGTTGAAAAAGTTTTTGCCTTTCTTTCTCTTGTGGTGATGACACAGGGGTCTGCCATGGCCCAAGTTGGTTCTTGTATGGTTTGTGTAATCATTAAATTGTTGTACTAGTATAAATTATTTGCGAGTAGTAACAAGTGCCACGCTAGTAGTAACAGGTGCCTTACGAGTAGTAACAAGAAGCTACTAGGAACTAGTGCATTGCTATGTTTCAGTTTCCTTCTTCCTTCTCAATCCCTTGCCCGGTGAGAACTGCGAGCCGATGAGTGGACCGACCTGATTTCTGGCACGGTCGCTGGCGGGGTGACTCCGGTTTTGGTACCGAAAGCAACTTCTGGTGTTTGGGATGCAGAGACCTTGGGTCGACCTCGGGGGCGGGTGAGTCTGAAGCGGTCAGAGGTCCGCAGCGGCAAGAGCGCGCTCCTACAGAGTCGGTGTGAGCTCGGGACGTTTGGTTGTTTTTTCTTCACAGGTTCGACGTGCTCTTGGGGATCACTGGCATCACTGATGTGTGGAAGCCCAGGATTTGGAGGGATTTGGGTTTGTGTTTTGGAACGATCTTCCAGGTTGGAGTTCCAGAATGAATTCAGAAAGAAGAAAACATATCTGAGGTATTAGGTATCATCTCAAGAATGTGCTGATTCTGAATAAGTTTGGCAAGTTATATATATATATACAGTATCAGTCTGGAGCCCACAAACATAATTAGTAGAGGAGCCAAGACCTCACTGTTTGACCAGTCCATTTGCCCTTCAGCTGGCCTGAAAAACACATTGCGGTCCTGTGGTGCTGCGATCCTGGAGGGAGTTCAAGGCAAACAGCAGTGTAAGGAGTCCAACGGTCCAAGTGGGACGTGGAGAGGGATCTTAGGCAGTTTGACCAAGATTTTGAGTGGAACGGTTCTCGGATGAGCGGGGAAAGCTGGGGTGCCAGAGTGACCTTTGTGCAAGCCTCAGGCAGCTCAGTCTTTCGATGAATGGTGGAGCCATTCACAGGGAAGATGCATCAGAAACACTACTGCTTGGTGGGACCTTCAACCATGGTCAAACCTAGAATTCTTGCTATAGCTAGTGTGAAGAGTGAACAGTGATGGACAAACGTCTCGCCACTTTAAGCAAATGACAACCATTATGTGCAGGAGAACATGGGACATTATGTTTGAGAGGTTTGCAGCCGAATGCGATGACGTCACCAGATTACAGGACTCTTAAAAAAATTGGAACCACTGGAGCAAAGGTGCGCAGGGAGCCATCGCCTTGGCTGGTCCTTGCAGATCCCGACGATGCCACTCAGCATGCCTATAGATTAATAGATAGAGTCTAATTATGTCTAATTCAATATATCTAAAATACATGTTATATGTTCATTTGATTATACACTATATTACATAATAAACCAACCATGTCATTTGTCCAAGTACCAATCACCAGCACCCCACATTTGCCGTCAATCCAGTGATTTGCCGTCGCGATCTTCACCGCCGTCGATCTTCACTTGGCTCAGCCTCGAGAGGTCACGGTGGAGTTGGTGAATCAACGCGCCACGGCGGAGCGCGAGCGGGAGATGGGGTCGGTGGGGGTTCCGGTGGCGGAAGGTGAGTATTGCCTGGATTTGTTGCCCTATAATACTTGTCTAGTTATAACCTAGGTTATAAGTCCCATATCTTCTGTAAGTCACTTAGCTGACTTAGCCAAAGCTAGGCTTAGCCAAGCTTAGCTAACCAGGATCCGCGCAAGTAGTCTTACCACCTCGGGGTCCAAGCAGTGCTATGGCCGACTTAGGAAAGCTGCATTAATCTCCACTCCCCGTTTGATATGCCTACTTAGGACACCACATTGATCTTACATCCCAATCCACTAGGGAGATCCGAATTTTGAGCAGATTGGCCCAGGTGTCCCACCATAAGGGTATGGGTATCACTGCCATGCCAGTTGATCTATATCTATAACTCTATAACTCCACAAATTAAACTCACATATATATATATTATATAGATCAACTGTAAACAAAAACTGATGTGAGTTTAATTTGACAGGGTTTAATAGATCAATTAATCTGCCAATTATGCCAGTTAATCTATTGACAGATCGTGAACAAAAACTGATTTCGCTTAACCTGACAGGAGGCTTTAAACGGCAGCCGTAAAGGCTAATTGGGAAAATACACAGTCTATTGAAGGTGGGTACTGTACTGTGGTCAACCAGACACACAGCATCGTTTATTGCATTGCCCTAACTTTGCGCATGTTCGTGATAATCACAGCAGAGCTACAGAGGTTCTGAATGTGCATCAGCATCTAGTTTGGCTGCCTCTTACCACTATCTATCCACAACAAATTGTTTATAACTTTACAACCAATAAAAAATGTCACGGGTGGGCCCATTTCTCGAGCCATCTTATCAGAACGAAAATCGGTATGAACATATATCTTTTATTGATGGTCCATTAATGGTACATGCGATTTTCCGCAAGGGCAAAGTTGTTGTAATTCGTAAGGCTGCTTGGGCAGCGGTTCGTATGGTGTGAAAATACCACCAACCCTTTGCTTAATGAATTGGAAACCTTGCAGGTCTCGCATGTCAAAGGTGGCCAGACAATAAATCGAAAGGAACTTGAATCAGTAGTGTGGGTATCAGAGTTTTACTCTCGTCGTCTCTCGTCAAGTACCACCTTCACTTGTTGATGTCACTCGTTGACGAAAATCATGGCATCCGTTCGCTGGGAGAGGCATTTGATCCTGATGACCTAAACTCGCATCCGAAACGAAACACCGTTGCAGACGAAACCGCTAAACTCATAAATAAGCAAGATATTGCTCCATTGAAAGAAGCAGCAGATGTGATCCGTATCCATAGTGAGTACCAGATTCCAGATGAGAGATTTGCTGACAGTATACAAATACCTTGTTGATCTCAATCACCTCCAAACCAGTCTAAAGATTGAGAAAGAAAGAAAAAAAACAGATGAGGAAGACCGGCAAGGGTGTGATGACATTTCGCATATGCAAGAAGTACTATCCGCCTGGAAGTGTACCTTTTTGGACCTTTTCCGGGGAGCTCCAAAATGTAATCGCACACGCTTGTCCGGCAGGAGCCCAGATTGCATATCGTTCTTGGTCCTTTTTCCAACAGTTAACTTGGCGCCACCCAGATTTTCCTGTAAATAAAAAGATTATGGTATCACTTGGTACGAACTGGCGATTCATTTCACCCTTTACGCAGGCCAGTGTTTGCCCATATGGATTAAAGTTAATCAGCCAGCCCATCCTTTTGACTTTTTCTTGCCAGAAGTTGCTTTGCAGAAACCAGAAGTCAAAAGCCTTTGGCACCAGGCCACAAATTTTGCAGTCTTGTTAAGCACTTAGAGAGCAAAACCAAGATATAAAAAATTGTGCATCGACTATGGTAAGGCTTGAATTTCACCGCAGGCTAATTGGTGGGATTGCCTCCCTTGATAAAACAAACACAGGCCATCCAAATGTTTTTGCTGCCTTACCGGGTCAACCGTATCTGTTAAATGTACGTTTGCCTCTCGTGCCTAAATTGGACTGCGCTCTTTTTAACGGTACGTTACCTCTGATATACCCTTCCTGCAGCGATATAACCTTTATCAGAGGGTTCGAAAATGCATTCGTAACAAAACCGATGTGAGCACAATTTCTTTCAACCAGTAAATTCGTAATTCTTGGGGCATGATCTCTTGATGCTTGGTCCGTTAATTCGCGTTTGGTTTAACCTGGGAATAGACCGGGTGAACTTGCGGTATGGTGGTGCATGTTTGGGTACATAGTCTTGTGTAATCCTACCCTCCCGTGCGTCTCACACGTTTGGGAACCCAGGGCTGGTCATGGAGCGTCGCAGAGCACAACTGGAGCGGAATGTTTCCAAAGTTATATATATATATCCGATCTGATTTTAACCGTTGTTTTGATGTTGCTTTCCGACCATCAGTGGTGAAAGGCCCAGGAGTTGTCTTTTTTTTGGGGGGGGGCGCGACAACTCAGTGGAGAATGGGCAGGGCCCCACCCATTGAAGCTACTGGTACTACAGATTGACATCCCTTTGGCACGACTTTTAATAATCGCTTTACAATTTTAAACCATTAAAACTCTAACCATCAAAACCCTGAACACATGCAATGACCCAGTTGTTACGCGTGCTATAATACCATCACCTCCGGGGCACCAAACGGTCAACGCCCCGCAAGTTGGTTCACTCCAGCGCCGACCGAAGCCTCAGCCCAGGCCGTAGCGAGATTCCCACCTCGCTACTCCGCTTTTGTCGCTTGATACGCCTGGTGCGCATCGTGCCGCTTGGTCAGGCATCGGACCGACTACTGTTGTCGTTGCACAGTAGTCGTCCGGGATTCCAGACGTTTTGGAAGGCTGAGGGACTGGGCTTGTAGAAGGACCATGTGAGACCCCAAATCTGGTGAATGAACAAGGTCGGGTAAACCTTGGTAGTTCTGGACTTGAAGGGGTAGTTCCGCAGACGTCCAAGTCTGAGAGCCTGCGGAAGTTCTGGGGTCTGAAGTTGGGTGGCCCAAGTAGGATTTGTGCATAGTTGTTTGAGCTTCAGACGTCCAAGCTCCGCCGTGCCGCCGTCTTCCTTCGTCAGTCGAACGCTTTGGGCTCCGAAGTCGGACACGGTTCACGCACCGACACCGATCGCAGATGAAACCGCGCAGGGTTCCACGCGGATTCGACGAGGTCCACCTGCCTCCGTCCTTGCCCCTGGTGTGTTTCTTGTTTCGACGAATTCTCAGTCCGATGTGTGGCACCCAACTGCCCCGCTGTGGAATGAGGAGTTCACTGTATATAAAGTAATATTTGGGTAATGACTGTAGTAAGACTTCTGAAACCTTGAGGAAGGACATTGGACTCCAATCCCCTTGCTTGGGGGTCTCCCAGTCTTGAATACACAGATCGATCGAGCTGCTGGCAATCCTCAGCCTTGAAGCTGATGGATCGAGGGCTGAGATGGGCATGTTTGATGCAAAACGTTGAGTTGCCCGAAGGGGGTTAGAATTAGAAGATTGTGTGTCTGTGTGTGCTTTGTCTAATTCATTATCAAGAGTTCTTCTATGAGTTGCATAGTAGTTCTGGGAGGTTTGCACAAGCCCAAAACAAAAGGCCCGCCAAGTGGGTGTCATAGTTGAATTTGTTTGTTTCTTCCATCAGTCGATCATGTTCTACCACATACTATGGTACTCGTAAGTGTTTAAGCCATTGCCCATAAGTATTCAGAACCTGATAGCACCAAAAAGGACGGTGCTTCACTTCTTCCTGCGGTTCGAAAAAAAGCTCGCCCTCCCTTCTGCGGTGTTTGTTTTAACTCGCCGAAGCTGCGGAAGCTCCACCCAGGAAGGTCTTCCGGCTGAAGTTCATGAAGGATTTGCGGCTCATGGTGAAGGGCCTGGCGGGGACACCCAACTGCCCCCGCAGTGCCCCTGCAGACCACGGGGAACGTTCGCTGGACGGAGTCGGGTGAACGGGGCATCCGGGATAAAAGGCGGGACGGAGTCGGGTGGACCAGGGGTGAAGCTGAACTTCAAATCAGTTGCTTACATCATGGATCATGTTTGATTGATATGTTTCATTATGTTTCCTTTGAGGTGATTTGTTGTTGGACAACATAAATCCTGCTATGTCTTCAAGTATGATTGCTGGGCGTTTGATATTTGATGCTTGGAAGTAACCACAGGCTGCTTTTGTGCAGGCATTCTGGTCCGAAAATCACCCACATGGATGGAACAAGTGCACTTGCTCCAAAACAACTTGAATATGCAGATGCAACTATTACAGTACTATATTTTAGTATTAAGTCAATTTCATTCTAAGATGAGGACTGATTCGCCAACATCAGATTCGCCAGGGTGTCGACTGACATGAACAGTAGATTGCTAGGCTTGTTCAGGACCTATTGTTGTTTAATTGAAGCTCCTGAACAGTCTTCAAGGTCGCTGGACTCCGGACACTCTCACTGGCCTTCACCTTGCTTTTGGCAGTGATCTATGTGCAGCTTGGGCGCTTTTTCGCGACCGGGGAATGGCGCATACCTCAAGTCTCAGTGTGTACCTTTTGAACATGATGAGGACCTGTGGTCTTCGTTTTCGCTGGCCCTAGGCCCCTTAGGCGGGGCCGAAACCATCAAAGACCAATCCCAATCACAGAACCCAAATATTGATGCCATACATGCTGGATCGTGTTGATGCTTCTCACCACATGTGAAGTTAAATCTGGGTCTTCTAAGTTTGTCTAATAGGTACGGTACTCTTTTGTAACATGTTCCAGAGTGTCGGCTCGAAACCTCCCAGCGGTGCACCGGTGTCATCGGAAGTTCGAGGGGCGTGTTCCATGTCGGTGGCATTTCTGGAAAGGCCGCTCTGTCCAGGCCGATGGACAGGTGTGATAGAGCTGGTTGCTCCCAAGCACGATCGCTTTCGTTGCGGGATCCTGCCATTGTCAGGCCAATCTTGTTTCGTTGAAGGTCTTTCGGATGAGTTCCAAGATCGCATCACGGTTTATGATGTCCTAGTCAATCGGGAATGCATGGGGTTTGTACTTCGGATTGATGTCAGTACTGTGGTGGTTCAGAGAGCTCAGCTTAGCGTGGATGATCTTCATGAAGTCAAGGAATTGTGCAGTGGCTTGGCATGCATCTCCATGGGGGGCTGTGCCCATCGGAGGAAGAGCCATAGGAGCCTTGGATGTGAATCGGTTAGCCATCTCCCACCTTGAGGCGAATCACCACCCCAATCCAATTTTGGGGTCAGTGTTGAAAGATAGTGATGTCTGCAGGATGCACCTGCTTGGGGGGGCCAAGAGAGGAACCCTGACTGCAGGGTTTCCCTGCCAGCCCTTTTCCAAACAAGGGGACAAGCTGGGCATGAAAGACAGCAGGTCGATGGTGTTTGAAGGTGTTGCCAGAGCCGCTTGGTTGATGCAGCCTGGACTGCTGTTGCTTGAGTGTGTGACAGAAGCCGGCTCGATCCCTGAGATCAATAGTGTCTTGGCAACATTAGCTTCAGGCCTGAACTTTGGAGTGCGCACCATTGAACTGGCATTGGAAGATGTCTGGCCATGCAAGCGACATCGTTGGTGGGCAGTCCTCACCATAGCACCTTGGCTGCCAGCCGAACTCAAATCATGGCCCAGCTTTGCTTTTCCCACAGTTCGTGATGTCATCCCAGAGTGGCCTGTCTGGCCAGAGCATGAGGAGGCGCAGCTTGAACTAGGCGGAATTGAGCTTCAGGCATTTCATGAGCCCAGCTTCGGAGGGGGAGATCGGGTTCTTCAAATGAATGGAAAAGCCCCGACTTTTCTTCATTCGTATGGCAGCCAGCTTGTGGCGTGCCCCTGCAAGTGCAGAAGTGGTGGATTGAGTCCTGCTCGGCTTGAGCGTGCTGGTTTGAGAGGAGTGTATGTTCATTCTCAAATGAGCAACATGCCCCGATGGCTTCACCCAAAAGAGCTTGCAGTCTTGCAAACCATCATGCCGGACATTGTCCTGGATGATGACTTGAGAGCGAGTCTGGTTATGCTTGGTCAGATCGCTGCACCTGCGCAGGCACTTTGGCTGCTCTCTCAAATTTGGCTCCCGCTTCGTGAGGTGAACATTAGCCCTGAGGCTGCACTGAAGAAGTATCTTGATGAATTGCTTTGCCGCCGTTATCATGTCTTTCCTCCGAGTGCCATTCCAGATCGGAGCTTGATGCATGTCTGGCATGATCAAGGGGGCGAACTTGTTGCTGTCAGTAGTGTTCAGCAGGTGAAGGATTTCACTGATGCTGAGGAGCGTCTTCTTAGTGATGTCGAGGTGCAGCTATGGGATGGACGCTCTAAGCTGAAATGTACTGATGTGCTTCATTCAGCAGGCCTGTCAGGAGCCTACACCGTGGTCAAGATTGAGAAACCCAGGCAAACAGCAGCTAGCCCACTTGTGCTGGTGAAACTTATCTCAGGAGAGATGACCTGGCAGACTTTGCTGGCCTCGGGAAGCTTCGTGTTTGAAGCTTTCTGGCGACTTCGCTTGCAGGTGGAGCCCACTTCGTTGAAGGATGATCATGATGGATGCTGGTTTCCAGACAGCAGAATCTGGGAGGATGTCACGTTGCTGGATGTTCCGGTCATCTCTAGTGGCCCGCTGGATTCAGGTGTCTGTTTGCAACAGCCTCAGGATGAAATCACTGGTCCACAACTTCAGCGAGCTATTGATGAATTGATGCTGAGTCCTTCTGGCCCGGGTGAGGTTCTGCTGACAGTGGACCAGGTGCGGGTGCTGATCCAAGCGCCAATTCATTTGCCCAGCAAGGTCTCGCATCGTTGTGGCCAATGCTTAGTATTCCATGGAGTGTTCCAGAGCTGCGGGCATTGGGCCATGTTCTCGTGTGTTCGCCGAGAGACCTCGGTGGAGGTTCATTACTTTGATGGGGTGATACATTTGCTGGAACGTGAACTGCGTGAGATTGGGACATGGGCCGGACGGCTATGGGGCTTGTCGCAAGTGGATGTTCTTTTTGCCAGAACTGTGGTTCAACCTCGGCCGCACCTCAGTGCAGCAGTGGCGCTTGCACATTTGCGCCAAGCATGTTCGTTGATGCAAGCACCCTCTCCGGATGACTTGGAGCACTGGCATGAGACTTTGATGCAACCCATCCAATCTGTGAACACTGCTGATAGTGATGTGGATATGGAGACTGCAGTGGAAGGACTTGAGCTGAGAGCCATGATGAGGTTTGCGGAACATATTGCAGCCGAAGCCACTACAGCAGTGACCCTGGTTCCGTTGCAGAGCAGTGTGAATCTGGGGCATGGCAACCCAGTAGATGCCACGTTGTTTGTTCAGAGTGCTTGGCCGCTAGCTGCACCTCTGGTGCTATTTGTCGAATCGGCACACCATTGGTTGCTGTTTGTGATTCGTCTTCATGATGATTGGCTGGACATTGAATACTATGATGGTCTGCCGCATGGACATGACTTGGTGGTCAATACCGTTGCTGCTTGGGCACAGGAGACATTGCAAGCTCGTGGATTTGTCTTACACTATGTCACCGGGCTGACGCAGCAGCAGCATGATCATTGTGGAGTCATTGCTCTCGCCAACTTTGCCATGATTGCCAACTCAGATGAGCATTGGACACAAGAACAGCTCACGAATCTGCATGCCCTTCTCCAAGATTCCTGGGAGGTCTCGCATTCGGTATGGGCTTGTGGTGGAAGTGAAGGCCAGGCAGGCAGCCTGGCCCAGCAGTTGGCCGATCTGCTCATCACCAAGGGTGTGCCAAGAGATCGTGCAAATGAAAGAGCGCTGGCAGGAATAGCTGCAGTAGGAGAGGCTGCCTTGACTGCTGCACTCAAGCAGAAAAAACCCGTGGGCTGATCTCAAGCAGCTGGGGTCGAAGCCATCGACCAACTTTCAATGGGTCAAGCCTGATGAGCTCATGCGGCAAGTACGTGCCAGGGCTGAGGAGCAATATGGAGTTGCGGCTTCGATGAAGAAGAGAGATGGCAAACGTGCAAAGCAAGAGACTCAGCCGCTACACATCAACCCTCAGCAGCTGAGCCTGATTGATGGATCCTTTGTTGACTCCGCTGGCAACTCAGTGCGGCAAATTCAACTGGCAGATGTTTCAAATCAAGCTTCAGGTCTGGCATTCGCCACAGTCAATGAGGCAAGTCCTTATTTGCAGGAAGGTAAAAGCCTGAGCATCTCGCCACTGGCTTTGCTGACAACTAGCCCGGTGCCGCATGAGCAGGTGGGCTTGCTGCCGGTGCAGAATCTCAGATTTCCAGTCCTGTATCAAGGGACGCAGGAGCCTGTTTTGGTGCAAGGTTCCCTGATTCAGTTAGGAGATGAGATTATCACACGTCAGCTGGAAAGGAATCCCCCTAGCTTGGAAGCCTTGCCTACAGAGACTATGCGGTTGATCGTGTTTCGAGATGAGTTTGAAGCAGCGGGTGGAAGTTGGGACTCTATGTGCCAAGGCCCTTTGAAGCAGTTGTTTCAAGCCGTCCCAGGATTGACTGTCTGTCGTGGAGCAGCTTGTGGAGGCCAATGTCCAAAGCATCACTGTCCGGTGGATCAAGAATATGAAAGCCTGCTTACAGATGTATGGGAGAGGAGGTGGTCACGGACTGATGGTGGTGCAGGGTCAAGCCTGAAGATGCTGGACAGTTCTCTGTGTTGGCTAGAGTTGTCAAGCAGGTTGCAGACCAGTTGCAAAATCTATCAGGACAGCATGGCCTGTACATTGAGCCGAGACAGTCAGATGGCAAGGGTCCGGCATCAGGATTTGGAGTTGTCTGGCTCAACCAGATGGGCTTCAAGGAGGCGGATCATAAGAAGAAGACAGTGGATGGTGCAGTGGCCTTGGTTCGACTCGGGCATCGATGGGGGCTCAGGTTCCGTGAATCTGATATGGCAAAAGCCTTTGCAGAATTGAGGCCGAATGAAACCTATATGAAGGTGCAGGTCCAGGACATCTACCTGATGCATCCTTTGCCGCATGGAACAACTCGTGCAGGGTTGGTCAAATGCCTGAAATCCTGGGGCTGGGCAGCAAAACCACTCCAGCCGGTCCGGGGAGGACCAGAAGGTGCTGGTTGGCATGTTGGCAGCGGCACAGCTCCACCTAGTTCCGTTCTTCAGGGAGCGCATGGTGATGTTGTGGTCACTAAGGTCAAGTCCATGCTGAACGTCAAAGAGGCTCCCAGTGTCCTCAGCTCCTTTCGAACCAAGGAGCATATGAAGTCGCAACAACGGGCCAAGCCGGCAGAGGCCAAGAGTAGTGGAGCTGGAGCATCTAGTGATCCCTGGCTTCAAAGTGACCCTTGGCAATCGTTCAAACCAACTCAGCCCAGGACGCAGGGATCTGAGGTCACAGAAACAGCCAAGCAGAAGTTGGAGGAAGTGGAGAAAAAGCTCAGATCTGATATGAAGGATGTGATTCGCAAAGAGCTTGAAGAACAGGCCGCGTATGCTGAAGATGCTGCTATGCAGTCTACATGGGATGCTGATGTTCGGCTCTGCAGACTTGAAACCTCCATTGGGGAGATCAAAGCTCAGAACAGCCGATACGATCAGTGGTTCGAACACCAGGCCCAAGTACAAGCAGAACTCAATGGCAGGGTGGACCACTTGTCTGAGGGCTTGCGCAACCAGAAGGAGCAAATGGTAGCACTGGACCAAGCGGTGCACAAGCAGGGGTCGGATGCTCAGAGCTCATTTGTCTGCCTGGCGGAGGACATGCGAAAGGGATTCTCTCACATTGAAGCTATGTTTGCGAACTTCTCGCAGGACAAGCGGCAGAGGAAGGTGAGTGAGAGTCCTAATGGCAGAGGTGAGTGACTAGCTCACCCAAGGGCTCTCGTGAGGTGTCAGCGAGGGCTGCTTGGTCGAACAATGGTTGGCACCAAACTTTTGGCTTGGGTATTCTGCTGCTTGGTGTTGGGGGCGCCTTTGGCAGTGGAGGGCTTCGTCAGTGAGAGCCCGCAATTCAGTGCTGTTCCGATTAGCACACCTGATGACCAGGTGGTTTCATTTGAAGATGATGCCAATCCTCACAAGGAAAGAGGCTCTGGAGGGTCCTTTGCCCGCATCCAGTTCGACAGCGTGGATGGGACAGCCGTCTCATACCATGATATTGGGTCGGGGATCCGATGGAGTGCTCGTCCTTTGTGGTGGTGGCCGTTACAGTGCTTTCGACAAGGAGAAGCACTCAATCCGGGACCTCATCCTTCAGCTGATGAGTTGTTTCATGTGGGGACCACAAACCCCACAGGACTTCGTGGCAAGGAGCATGTCTATGGTGACTTGCCATATGGAATTTGGGGCATTGCGGAAACGCATTTGAGTCAGGCTGGCATGCAACCTGCCTTAGCTAGTCTTCGGGCCACCGGACGCTGTGGAGGCAGGGGATGGAGATTGTTGCCGGGAGCACCTGTTCCTCTTCGTGCTAGGTCGGAAATCGCTGGAACATGGGCGGGTGTCATGCAGGTAAGTGACCTGCCATCCAGAAAAGTTCATATCCCTTGGCCTGGGGGCCAGTATGAAGCAGGACGCGTCATGCTTGGTCAACATTGGCTGGGAGGCCACAGACAAGACAGCCAGGGCATAACTGGTGCCATGATCTATGGGTGGAGTCCTGGGCCTACTTGGCCGCAGGCCAAATCCCACACCAACAAAATGCTGCTCCATCTGACTGATCACCTGGTGATGCGACGAAGTGGGTGTAGATTTATCATGGGAGATTTTAATCACCCAGATGAGAGCCTGGAAGCTATAGCACTCTGGAGATCAATGGGTTGGGCAGAAGTTCAGGAGCTTCATTTGGCTCGGCACAATGAGCCGATACAACCTACCTGCAAAGGTAAGACCAGAAGGGACATGGTCTTTGTGAGCCCGGAACTCGCTGCACTCTTTGTCTCAGCTTCAGTGGAGAATCTGTTTCCTGATCACTCAGTTGTTTGGGGAGCCTTTCGACTAGGACAGGAGTCAGTCCCGCGGTGGATCTGGCCTCAGCCTCAAACCATTGACTGGAGCAAAGTGCAGGTTGATGAATGGCAGCGACATTGTGCAAAACCAGTCATTTTGTCCTCTGCCAAAAGAACAGGCAACCAATGGTTTCAGCAATGGGCGAATGCCTATGAACAGAGCTTGGCTGGATATGTTGACCTTCCAGGAGGAGGATTGCCGCCGGGTGCCAGAGGTCGGGGGAGGATGAAGAAGCCAATCCAGCAGCAGTCTCAGTTGCCTATGTGCAGACCTGCACGTGAAGGTGATCTTCGCCTTGTGTCAGACTTTGCCTGCAGAGGTGTTCAACTCTGGTACCGGCAGGCACGCCGGTTGCAAGCATTGGTGCAAAGCCTGCAACGAGGCACAATGACAGCTTCTGCACAAGCTCATCGTGTGGAGACCTGGGCAGCCATTGTGAGAGCTGCAGGCTTCCACGGTGGTTTTGTGAACTGGTGGCGCACTCGCCCAGTGCAACATCAAGGGCTTCCGGGTGAATTGCCCACTGGTGTACCCTCTCTGATGGTTGCACAGCAGTTGCTCGTTGACTTCACCAGTAACTTTCGCAAGTTGGAAAGCTGGCAGCTTCGTCGACAGCAAGAAATTTCGAGAGCCCAATTGACCGCACAGCGTGAGCTTGTTTTCAAAAAGGTTCGCTTGCATGAAAAAGAATATCTTGATACTCTGCTGCAAACAGAGGAGACAGAGATTCTGGCAGTGGCAGAGGATGGAAGCGAAATCCATTTGGAGCATGCGATCGGCGAGGGCCCTTGTGATAGTCAATTTTGGCTGGTGGACTCCATGACGACCATCCAGCTCGAGAGAAAGGAGGCTGATGTATACACAGTGAAAGATGCAGATTGTTTGTTGATGGCAGGCCAATCAATTGTGTGCCAGAGTGTTTGTTCGCAAGTGCCGACAATTTTGGAGGTCCTTGGCAGTTTCTGGACAGCCCGCTGGCAAAAACATTCTTCTGTCAGTGAAAGTGACTGGAATCGCATCTTGGCATTTGGTCGAGCTTTCATGCCCAAAAGTCGCCTGGAGTACAAGCACCTAGATGTCCATGGATGGCATGACGTCAACACCAGGTACAATGACAGGGCCGCCAGAGGCCCTGACGGCTTTCATGGGAGAGATCTTCAACTGGCTCCTCAGAGCTTTCAGTCGGCCTTGCTGGAGTTACTCACAGCTATAGAAGAGCAAAGAATAGAGTGGCCGGATCAGTTGTTGACAGGATTCGTGGCGTGCCTGGCGAAAACAGTCACAGCGGCTGAGGCAGCACATTTTCGCCCGATCATCATCTTCTCCACCATCTATAGAAGCTGGTCGACGGCGAGAGCACGCCCACTGCTGGCACACCTAGCGACCCTGGCTACCGACACGCAGCTGGGGTTCTTGCCAGGAAAAGAGGCTCTGCAGATATCATTCATGATACAAGGCTTGGTGGAGCTGTGTGTCTCTGCAGGATCAGCCCTTCAGGGATTGGTCACTGACATTCAGAAGGCTTTCGAGAATATACCCAGACTTCCCGTGATGCGCCTGGCACAACACACAGGAGCCCCTCAAGAGATTCTGCAGGCATGGGACAGCTTCTTGACCAAAATGGAGCGCCGATTCCAGATTCGAGGAGAAATTGGCCCACCACATAGGAGCACTTGTGGAGTCCCTGAGGGATGTGCGTTGAGCTGCTATGCCATGGGCATTATAGATCTGAGCTTTCATTTCTACTTTCGCCACTTTGCGCCTTCCACTGTTCCTTTGTCATTTGTTGACAATTTAGGCATACTGAGCGAGAGTGTTGCACAGTTACAGCACGGCCATATTGTGCTGCAAGAGTTTCTCTCCCTGTGGAAGCTGGACATGGATGCCCGAAAGTCATGGACATGGAGCACTAAACCGGCTGATAAAGCTGCACTACAGCTCATGGGTCTTGAAGTTCGAACAAGTGCTGGAGACCTTGGAGCCCAACACAGCTACTCAGCACAGAGACGGATTGCGGTGCAAAGGGAGAGGATTGCATCTCTTGACCCGCTGTGGATTCGACTGCGTAAGTTGGGGGCAGATGATAGATTGAAACAAATGGCTCTCCAGCAGGCCTTCTGGCCCAGAGCTTTGCATGGTATCTCAGTTTGCCTGCTTGGGCCATCTCACATTCAAGCCTTGAGGACTGCAGCAGTCAGAGCTCTTCGGCATGGTGCTGCAGGTGCTTCGCCTTTAGTTCGACTTTCCTTGCTGGCTCCTATGAAGACTGATCCAGGTTTTTATCAAATAACCAGGGTGCTGACTGATTTTAGGAGAATGGCTCGAAAACAAGACATGGTGATAGATCTATGGCACCAGCACCATCGAGGCTTTGATGGGACGCTGAGAGCTGGACCCTTTTCGAAGCTGCTTGAAGTGTTTGAGCCGCTTGGCTGGAGGGTGATTAATCCTCCCTTGGTGTGCACACATCTGGGCACGGAAATCGATCTTCTGCTAATCCCGGAGCCACAATTGATGCATTTGCTGGAAGATGCTTGGACTGACTGGATCTCCTCCGAATTGCAGAGCCGCTCGGACTTTGACGGTCTAACCAGGATCAATCTAGCCGTGCTTCGAAGAGCGCACAAGAAGCTTCATGGGTTACATTTTGCACAAATAGCGGCGCTTCAAGAGGGTGCCTTCTGTACGGGAGTTCAGCAGGCCAAATTTGACACCATGAAAACGCCAGACTGCCCTTTTTGTCAGGTGCCTGATGATCTCGACCACAGATGCATGACCTGCAAGATGTTGACTGAGGTGCATCAACGACATGAGGGCATCCGTTCGCAATGGGGCCAGCTCACGGTGGCTCAGAGACATCGACTAATGCCAGAAAAGTTTCCCAGATGGGAAGCCTACCAGAGGGCACTAGGATCACTTGCGTGCCCACATTTTGTGTATGAGGAGGTTGAAACCATTTTTGACTGGGTTGATTTGTTTGTGGATGGTTCCTGTTTGACGCCGGACCTTCCTGAATGCTCTCTCTCTTCCTGGGCGTTGGTTTCGGCGACACATGCATGCACCCTGAGTTCAGGGATAGTACCCGGCTTTCACCATTCAAGCGACAGAGCTGAATTGGTTGCTTTGCTGAGTGCCCTGACCTGGGCTGTGGAATGGGGAGGGGCTGTGGTATGCTGGACGGATAGTGCATATACTGCCACGGGGGTGTGGAGGCTTCTGGACCACATACATGACCCTCCTTTTGACTCGAACACTGATCTGTGGCTACGCTGTGCTGACCTGCTGATGCAGCTGACAGGCAAGTTCAGGTGTCACCACATTCCAGGACACATGCAAGAGGCTGCTTGTGATGACCCTGTGCAGGGATGGTTGGCCCACTGGAACCATCTGGCAGATCGAGCTGCTTTCGCAGCGCATTCCATGCATGCAGAGCAGGTCAGAGTGCTTAGGGGGCAATTGGTGGCACATCAGCGCAGTGAGCTGCAAAAGATGGTCGACTTGCAACTGTTGCACACTGAGGTGGCCTCGGCTTGGAACGAGCTGAGGAAAAAGCATGAAGCGTCAGTGCGTGAGATGGAAGCTCAAGAAGAAATGGCTCCTGTCACCCTGCCGAATGAAGAGCTTGAGGGTGCTGTATTTTTGGATTGTTTTCCAAACAATTGGCTAGCAGTTGTACAGAGTTCGGAGTTAGCCGTGAACTTTGGATTGTTTGGCTTTAAGCTCATGCAGCATCTCCTTGATGAAGGTGCTGGAACTGCCACGCATTGTATAGTTAGTTGGCTTGAGCTATCATTTTGGTGCCACCGTTGGTTTGCTGGGGTCTTCCCGGTGCCGGGGGCGAAGAAAGGCCAGTGGGTGCCTGCGACATCTAGTGGTGGTTGTTTTGGATCTGCTCAGACGTTAGCGGCTGTTGTTCGGGTGGTTCGTTCTTGTGTGAGGGCCTATTCGGTTTATTTTGGATTTGAGACTTGAGATGTTCGCGGCATCAACCTTGGCCGTATTGGCATTGGTCCACCACAGAGTGGCTTTGCCGTGAGGTGTTCGGACCAGACTCGTTTGAGGGGTCTTGAGGATTTGAGAGGCTTCTGTTCTGGCAGGCCTATTAGGACGTGTAATGATTTGGTCCGACCACTGAACACTAGAGACTGTCCTAACATGGGATAGACTGGAAGGGCCCCACAGAGGGCAGGACTGGAGTGCGGACGGCCTTCCGCCGGCGCGCCGGCCGTGGGCGCGCACTGTGCCAAGTGAGTGTGTAACATGTTCCAGAGCACACTTTGACTAACATGGAGATGGAAATTGGTCCCTTGGAAGCCTACTGTTCTTTACACAGAGGGTCCTCTTCCATGCTAGTGAGTCAGAGTCTAAATCACTTCGACTGAGTTCAGAGAAGCCAGTGTGAAGTTCACGAAGCGATTAGCTTTCACTGCAATTCACTGCATACAAGTGGACAGGACCAGTATACAATATGTATCATAATACGTTTGAACGGCGGGTGTTGGTCCCAAATTCCAACGCTTGCCCTTGTGGCAAGATACAAGGATCTCTGGCTTCGCGACCTATACGATTGGAAGTGAAGACACCAGCGGCTTGGGCTCTCGTTGTGAAGACCGTCCCGTTTGTTTTGTTCCTTATTCGACCTCTCTTCTACCTCTCGTCCTGAAAGTGTTTGGGGGACTTTGTTCAGTTCACCACCCACTGGTAGCAAGGGAAGCTGCTTTTCGCCTCCAAAGCCGGGCCAAGCTTTTCTGCGAGGCATGCGAGCTGAGAGCGTGTGGAACCATTGCAGTGCATGAAGGTGAAAGCAGAATCAACGTTCAACCAGCACCGGCACCCTCCCGCGGATCTCCTCTGTAGGATTTGGTGCGGCTTTTGGCCTAGTTAATCCATGGGAATCACAAATCATAGATCAAGAAGTTTAACCAAGCCTCTTCATGATTTGTAGGTCAACCGGACAGTAGACCAAAAGACCAAAGACAGTATATAGGTATATATTGCTCTCCAAACCCGTTGAGTGTTGCATTTTCCTGTTTACGTATCAATTTGATGCTGGCGAACCACCTGATTTCCCTCCAACCCGCCCTGCCAGCTGCCAAACAAACACGATCCGTTGCGGCGGCTGCATGAGGTTCGGAGGCTAACCCGATCAACCTGCAGCCATACTTTCGAAATCTGCCTGTGTCAGCTGGGCAGCAGCCAGGGGATGCCAGAACAACCACGGGAAGCACCTGATGGTCGGCTTTCGGTTTATATATGCGCGTAGAGCAGTCCGTTTTTGGGAATCCAAGAGCGTTGAGCAGTTGTAGATGCAACATTAATCTCAGATGTTTTTGAATACGGGAAATCCCTTTTTTTGGGGGGATGAATACCATGGTTGTCCTGTCGACTTTTGGTTAAATATATATATATATATATCCATTGAATGAATGATGACATGCCAGTAGCCAGGCAGAAAGATCTGCATGAATTTTCCTCGCCACCCCTTGGTATAGTGCTGCAAGATCCAAGTCTGTGTGGCAGAAAAAAGAGCCACAAACCCACGGGGCATCTCCATGCTTCACCAAGAAGAAGCTTTTCTCCACGGGACATTGGACAAAGACCACCTCTAAAACTCCCTGCACTGAGTACGCGAACGAGCGAGCCTTCGATGAAAGAGCCCTGTGACTTTTTGTTGCTTATATACTGAAATGATTCTATAGATACCTGGTACCTGGGGGAACAAGTACACAAGAAACACATCACTGAGGGTCCGGCAGTTGGAAGGTCGACAAGGCTCATCGTTGGAACCGCAAATCCGTCCGTCGAAAAAAAGCTGTCGGGGGTGCTCGATCTCCGAAATCTCCCCGGCTGCGATGCATCCCCAAGCCTTGCGGAGCTAGAGGTGACCTACGGCCTGTCTCCCCTTGGTGGAAATGCCACCAAAAACTACGGGCAAACCGAACCAGTGCTTCATCTCGCCGTGTTGTGACGATTCAGTGCCTTTGTTGTGTGAACCTGAGGTCCATGTTCACATCCTTCCGCTGCTTTACCGGTGAATGTACCAATGACCTAGGCGGGAGAGTGGGATCTGAGATCTGGGATGACTGAAGGCACTGCCATTGACAAGGCACTGACAAGGCACTGCCACCGTTCCCAAGCTGCGCAAAGAAGTTGGCGTGCCAAGTTCCGTCCTTTTCTCACTGCCTGGTATTTTTCTCCGGTGCATCCCTGGCAGTTCCATTCAACCAGAAGAAGCACGGAAGAATCGATGTGTTTCTACTACATTTAGTTTAGTTTGGACCTGGTTTGGATGGTTGTAGGGGGATTCTACATATTTCCAGGGCTGCAGGGAAAGTCCTTTTGTTCATTGCTTTTGTTTTTTTTCTATGTGGGAGTTGGAATTGTCTTTTCCAACTATATGAGTGGAGCGTCCGTTCCCAATGTGTGAAAGGCATTATCATACTTATTTATATATACTGTATATAGCACACAAATGCAAATCTGAAGATGCAGTGGAGACCAATCCAGATGCATTCTTTCCCAACTCCACGCAGCAAGAACTGCATTGCACGGGTGAAGTATTATGCCATGACCAGGTGGTTGTTCAAGAAAGCCTTGTTTACGGATGTTCATGGCAGTAAGCACGCTTTGACTAATACACTCTGGGATCTAGGATCTAGGCGGCTCTTGGTAGAGAACATCGTGCTTTTGTTGTTTATTTCTTTCTCAGAAGTCAGGGTGACACTGATTCACTTGGCATTTGTCTCTTCCTCAGACTAACACATCCGAAGCCTTCGACCAGGCGAACATGGGCCAAAGATTTTCACGATCACGTTCCAACTGCCCATTTTTGGGGTCAAAACCCACCAAGCGATGACTCCTGGCCGGGCTTTTTCCTCTTCCAGGTTTTCCCATGACTTCCCTCCTGGCGGACCGCTTTGGCATCGGGCCGGGCCACGAAAAACGTCGGGAGCGACGTTGGTCTTAGAAGCGACGAGTTCGGTCGTAACGAAGCGACGAGGTCGGGGTCTTTGGTGAGATGGATTCTGTTTTGTTTGACGTGTTTATAGGGGCTGATTTGAGATAGGGGGTTCTGTTTAGGGGGGTCTGTTTTTTTAGTGTTTTCTTTTTTAGGGGAATCATAAATCTAGGGGCCGATTTTGATTGGATTTTTTTTTGCACGAACCGTCACCTCAGCTCGAATATATTACATCATTGTGCATGGTCTCCTGGACATACGTATATATATATATAGATTATATAGCTCGACACCGTGAACCACGAGTAGTATTGTAATTCAATCAAAAGGTCTTTAGTGTCCAGATAAGACAATACGTACATCTATGACAGACCTTTGGTACTCCGCCGAGCAAATGCTCACAAAGGGGTGGGGACATTTTTGAGGCATTTGTTTGCCAGGTGCCACCATTGCTATGGAGTACCAAAGGTTATGTCCTTTTCGCTGCTGACAGACTGGAGTGCAATTTTGTTTTACACATGGAAACTGTGGAAATTGAATGCTGGATAACACATTTGATGTTTGATTACAGTTGATTAATTAATATTAATTATATATTATAGTGGAAACCATCAAAGATGTGGCCAATGCCAAAGTCTTCATCAAAGCTAGTTTGGTGGAGCCTGCACTTTGCATAGTGCACTAGAACCCATTTTAGCGGCATTTTAGCGGACACGGTTTGTCGAAGGCCTTTGGCAGCTTTGTTTGCCGTTGTTTAGAGTGGGCAACACCATCATGGTTTTGACATGTTTAAGCACTATTGCTGCAGACATGCAAACAATACCAGGAAGCTCACTGATTCCCGGACTTCTATGGAGAACATGTTGCATGAAATTCTTTGATGTTTCCCTGGTCGTGACGCATTCGTGTGTTGAGATGTTCAGATGAAACGCTCGTCTTTCCTTTACACCAATCCCTGGTTTTTGCCCAAACGGGTTTCGTTGTTCCAGAGCATCTGAGAGCAGGTTCGTGGCCGCCTACATCGCGAGTTACATGTTGGTGTCCTTGGGCAGCTTGGCAGCTGGACATATTTCGAATGGCTGGGAACAAGGAGCAGGAGCCTATATCCTTTCAAAGCAACCAGATGCAACCAGCTGATCGTATCTTTTTGGAGGGTAATTACTGTACCAACTGCTGACGTGTCTTGAGGTAACTGGAAAAGCAAGGAGAGGACATTGAGAAAGCAGGGACTTGAATCATCCTTTGCTGCCCCTCACGTCTCAGTTGTTCCAAGGCTTTGGGGAAAATCGATTGTGTTTGTCGACAACCGTCAGCAGTCCAGAACATTTGGAGTGTCTTAAAAGAAACTCTTCGATATATAATTGAACTCGCCGGAGGATGCTGTATCGGTGTGACTTATCATTATGACACGTTGCACACAAAAAATGCATGTTGTTTTTGTTGATTGTTTCCTTTGGTTGAGAAACCCAGAACGAGGAGCATGGAGTTGCTACATGCAGTGCCTGAAATAATGTTCCGGCCAACAACTTTAACAAACATACCCTACACAGTACCCTACACCTCCAGTCGTACCTCCTCAGGAGGTATTTGTAACCTCCAAACCCACCCCAGACACCTTCTCAGAAGGTACGACTGGAGGCCTAGGGATAGGTTTTGGACATACCAACACAGGGCTTCGATGCTTCATAACATACGGGTCTACATGACTCCTGGAGTGTCTCAGGAGTTTCTCATGTCATATCGAAGAAGTATTTGCGAAAACTCCCAGTCATGACCACGGAAAAGCAAAAGCAAAACCACAAACCTTTGGCAAAAACTCCCAGTTATGCCACTCTGCTGGTACTTGTCCCAGATACACCACTCACTCCCAAAAATGACGGGTTGTGATGAAGTGGGTGTAGATCTGCCGCATCAGTCAATGCCTCAGTGAGTGATTGAAGAGCTCAGCATTCCCCAAGTTCCACCCCAGGAGCTCGTGACGGATTGAGGCCCGCGCTAGCAGCTAGCACTAGCAGTATCAGTTGGCATCAGGGATCATGTAAATGTCCTATTAAAACCTTTTTCCGGCTGCAACTGCATTCTGGATGAGAGGGTGTTTGGGGCGGCTCTCCAGGGTTTGGAGAAAAGAGGGTCGGAGCCCCAATGAGCCCTAGGGTATCAGTTCTTGCATCGAACACTAATGCAAGCATATGCAAGCTACACGCTGGATTGGCTACAAGCGATCTACTTTCTATTTATGTTTGAGAACACTCCGGTTGTAGGCAAAGCAAGAATTGGTTCATTACAACCGAGATTTGCTTATGGTCCATCCTGGAAAGATTGGACTCTCTTGAAATTCACTTCAAGAAGGTCCTCGCGTCTGACAGGTTCACCTCTCAGCATCAATGGAGGATCTGTTTTTTTTTTTCACTGAGTGTATTTGAGGCATCTTCAATGTCATTTTGGCCGTGGGGAACCACAGTGTGGATGTGAACCGGAGATGGGGGATGGTAATTACTACTGGAGATATTGCATTATTTTTTGAAACACCTACATCATGTAGTTCTGACTAGACTCTTCATACACTCTCCAAGATGTAGAATATGACTCAGGTGTTGTTTTGGCAAACGTGTCTACCAAACATTCCCTGCACATGGCGCGGCAGGGAACGATTCCTTCCACTTCGCTTGGGCGAGTGACCTACCTGTCCGACTTTCAGGCTTTGAACCATTGCACAAGAAACCAAATTAGCCTTTGTAGAACTCCCAAAAAATATAGAAACTGACCGAACCCTGACCTTGGGGTCTCCTCCCCTAGAAAAAAAGGGAGGAGCATGTTTGCCAGCTTTGATAAGCCTTCCATGTTGGTTCAGGATAGGATATGATGTGATGTATTGTGATGTATATATAAATGTATAACTATGTAAGTGATTCTAGTGAGTGGGTGTAGTGGATATCGTCAATCGTCAATCGCTGGGTCCAGTGGTGGAGGCTTTTTCTGGGTCATCTACAACTTGCTGAATGTTGCTGATGGAAGGCAGCAAACCTCCTGAGGTAAGAGAGGTAAGACGGAAGGTGCAAGGTGGATCTTTCTGGTGGTGCGTACGGTGCTGCGGTTTTCTGAGTTGTTTGCCAAAGGAAGTTGGCAGCAGCATGGCCTGTTACTCTTAGTTTAATTGATAACAGATGGGGATACCGGGATACCCCCAAGTGAACAACCAATATAGAGCGATTTGTGTCTTCTCCGGTGCACCTGCGATTGCTTCCGGGGGGAGAAGAAGACCCTTCCAGGTGTACGTCGAGATCACCATGAAAGCCGCCAAGGCCGGGTGGGCGCTCACCATGTTCTCACCATGTGCCGCGAGGGTCATTCTTCGGGCATCTCTTTGGGGTCCACCTATTCATATGCTTTGTATGTATACATGGTTGTCTTTTTCCTGAATTCCATTTCTTTGGGATCACACTTGCATTACTTCTGGGCCTCCATACACCCGAGCTGGTCGACCATCCTTCCTGCCTTGGTCGTCGACCGACGCGGTATGTCGACACGTACTGGGTCTCGACGTGGTCGACGGGTCGACGGGTCTCGACGATGTGAAGAGACGAAGCACGAGGTGAAGACCAAGCCAGACCAAGTATGAAAGAAAGAACCACGCCACTATCTATCTTCAGACCCTGAGGACATCATGACAGGATCCTGGCTTTTTCGGACATCAAGAGTTGATGCTTCAACTCTTCGATGTTCTTATACATTCCCGGTATTCAACCCGTGCTTTTTTTGGGTTCTGATATTCGCAAGGAATGGACGTTTTGGCTCCATAGGGTCGAACAAATACCGCAAGTGACCAGTGGCTGGCTGGATCGTGGCTGGTTGGATCTGGCGGGTTCTGTAATGGTTGGATCAGTGATAGGTCTTGTTTGGTTTGGTTGGATCAGGAAAGCCATGCACACAAAAGATACCTAATCACTGTGATCAAAGTCAATCACTGTCAGCTCCGTTGTGTGGGGGATTACTTGAGCATTGAGTGGTGATTTTGTGGACAACATTCACGCTGATAGCAGTCAGGAAACTCTGCCGTTATGTTTATGATGCGCTTCATGCTTAGCCTCTATACATCTTCGACCTGCTTATCATGAACTCTTGGTCCACAGTGGCCAAACCTGCTTTTTGAACGAAGAATCATGAGAGGACACGAAGAATCATGATAGTATATATATATATATTAATTATGTACTTTGGACCCAGATCATAATACGTTGTCCAAACAATCACTTGCCGCTCGTAGTAAATTTTTCCTTTTGCCTCGCTGCATCTCGCTGCCCATTCCCGACGACGGCGGACGGCGTTCCGGTCGCTTTCTTTGGTCGGCTGGGTCCTATCTCCGCAGGGGATAGATTCGGCTCTAATTTAGTTTACCATCACTGAGTACAGAACTGACAATAGATGGACCGTGGTTTTCTCGACAAATCTACCTAGAGAAGCGGGTATAGCAAGAAAGTAGACCATGTACCCTGTATATCCTTTAAATCCTGGCCATGGTAAAATAAAGACTATGCTGACAGGTCCCTCACTATGTCCCCCCTCTCGACTAAGGTCGCAACCATGCTCTCGTGGCTTGAATGGCTTGAGAATCCCTCAAGTCCGGCTCTGTCAAACCCGTTGGATCGAAGTGAAGTTGAAGTGCATCGCTTCCACCAACATCCCAGGTTTGGTTCAATACTTGAACATCTACTTCCCCCAAACATCAGAATGGAGGGTAACCATGATCCCCAAAAAGCCTGCCCCTGTTCATGTTTTGAAACCATATTCAGATGGATTCAGTCTGATTGTTTTTGCGCGGCGTCCATCTGTGTGCCTCCGTCTCGTGAAAAACAAAGTCAGAGTAGATGGCACAAACCCCGATGTCTTTTAGATGGGGATCCATTAACAAAAATACATACCCACGTTGGGGTCTGCGCCATCTGCTCTCAATCCACTATCACACGAATCCATCACTGTGGCCTTCGTTGTGTCCAGGAAACCGACGCCACTACTGCAGAGCAATATGCGCGGGAGTCCATCCGTGTGGCACGGACCACTCGCCACATGTCATGATGGACCTGGAGGGGAGGGATGGACCTGGATCCGGAGGGAGGTGATGGACGTGTCATATGTTCCCATGCCATGTTCCCCAAATGGAAACACCATGTTAACTTCCTTGAGGTGAAATTTGTAGTTCCTGTGCTGATCTTTTGGGAATTGTTGACCAATATTGCTAGTTTTTAAGCTTTGAGACTGCGACTCTCCAAGTGGATTGGAATGGCAGAATAGAGGCGCCAAGTGCCATACCAACTTCATTTGATCCAAGGTCAACAAGGCCCAGACGCTTTGAGATGTTAAATCAAAGCCAATGCCATGAGGATCAAAGCCCAGGAAATTCTTTGAGCGTGCCACAAAAAATAGGCATGCCAAGCAGAAATGAGAGGATTTGATCGCGTTTGCTCTATGGAGATGCTTGACCTGGAAAACGAAAAGAAGCGAAGAGGTCTCACTGGTTTCATTGACTTCTCTTTGCTTGGGAGGTGCTTTCCAGTCTCCTTCCTGTCAGAAAGGGGGCTTATTACATATGTTCACGCACAGCAGTGTGGACCACCCGCCAGGTCATTTGAAACCATTGGACACAATGAGTCAAAGCGCACCGGGAAAGTCTTCACAACAAATTGAGTCTAAATAAAGAGTCTATTTATGTATCCTTAGGGATCCTACCTTCGAAGGTACTTGTACCCTCCAAACCTACATCAAAGAGTCTCCAACCTTCTTCTCAGAGGGTATGTGGATCCATGGGGTATGTGCACACACCCACACACCTGTTGAAGACATCCATGAGTGTCTCTCGTTTTTGGAAACCGCCTCGCCGGTGCGATTGAAGAAGTCAAGGTGAGTTGCTGAAGAAGTTTGCTGCAGCGTACCGGATCTTTCAAGAGCTGGAAGAACAAGATCAGGCGTTGAACAGGGGGGGTTGGCAAAGGTGCCGGAAAAGAACTCCTGGTTTGGCAACGCCTAATATATAATTCATCATTTGGGAATTGAGACAAGAGTCTTGAGGGGGGGGTATAGAAGAACCAGGTAGTCAGGTAGACATCAGAGTGATGAAGGACTTTTGGAATGGAGGATTGACATGAGGTTCTCGAAGTTTGTTGAAATATGTCACCATGTTCATGGAAGACATCGTGACAGAATTTGGAGTGTACCACGCAGCCCAAATTGAACAGATGCAGCTGGGTGAATGCTCTCGTGCGACCCTGATGAAGCAGCATCGCAAGCGACCAGCTCAACGCCTGAAACCTTGCTGGGATGTTGGATGAATTTCAATGCAGCATGCAGCAGCACGTGAATTTGATGAAGGTGTTCATCGCCGCATCGCACAGAGATTCGTGCAAATGCCAAGCATGCCAGTCCAAAGACAAAAGGAAATGGTCTCGCCATCATCCCCACCACTCTGTCGAGGCTGCTGGATTGTCGAGTCGGGTGAGTCCTCCGTCAAGCAAATCGCTTCAAAGCCGAAAGAGCCCGGCCCTTCTGTCCGGTCGGTTTACAACGTCGGGATGCCCTAGAGCTGAAGGTTGGATCTATTTCCCATGTGTTCGAGGGCCGGTATGGTCTATATAGTGGCCATGACGCATCGCTTTTCCGCGTTTTTCACACGGGTTCAATCCCGGGTTCAATCGGAGGCGGGCCACTACTCCACCCCTGCAGTTAAGGGGATGAGCTAGGGTGTGGACCGTTAAAACACAACGTGATCCATGTATTTTGATCAACCTTTTTGCACCATTTTTTCCACGTCCACAGGTGAGTCGCATCGAATTCCGCAGCGCCACAGCCATCTTCACGGATGAGGATGCTGCGTGGTTTAAGTCGGTGGCAAAAAAAAAGTCCACCCAGGAAGAAAAAACAAAAGCACAATGTGCAGGATGATTTTGGATGTTCGCATGAACCCTGTGTTTGAGAGTGTAAGTTAATTGTTTGGCGGAGCGTTTTCTTACAGCAGGTGTTGGTTGGAACTTCCAAAATCCAGAGGCATGCATGTGCTTTCTCCCCCTGAACCTAGCTCTTCTCAAGCGCACGAACTGGCAACAAGATACAAGATCGTGAGGTTTAGACACTAGCCAATTCCATCAGGATCCTCGAAGCTATTGTGACAGTATGTCGTGGCTGTAGGAAGATCAAACCTGTCCTGTCAAAGCTCGATTGTTTTGGAACGACTCTTAATGTCTGAGGTTCACGACAAGATCGTTGCCTGGCAAGCATTGATGATGTACGTAGGTGCTTTTTTTTCACCCTGTAAGTTTATCACACTGTGCCTGGGGCAGTATTTCGAGTGGGACGCCCTCCGTTTTGGCACCGCTTAGTATGCTACTAACATTTCTTGGTGCTTCCAAGCTACAGCTAAACCATGCTAAACCCATGTAGGAAAGGAGTAGCACTGTCACATGGCGAGCTTCGGGTGTTGCAAGTGCGGTCTTCGAAGGGTGCATTGGTAGAGTATTTGCTGCAAGCTGAGCCTTATACAGCAACGACGGACAAATGGATGCGGCCCAGCGTGGATGGGTATAATACAGGAACACATAATTACTCAATTGCTTCTATGAGTGGTCACAACTTGCACCTTGTTGCAATATCTACAGTTTCTATGTTGCTGGCATGTGCAACAAAGCTACCAATCCGCGGGTTCAAATAATATGACATCAGCATCTGCTCTTGCTGTCCAAGCACGCGCACGCATTTGGAGCCACATGATCTTGTTGGATTTTGGAGTTTCATTCATGTTGTAGTTGTAAGGTCTGTCTCTCTCTCTCTCTCTCTCTCGGCCCGCGGCAACAAGGGACGCAGGTCGACTTTTGCACCACAAGTGGGCAGAGCTGAGGCCATTACCAAAGAGCTTTTCTTGTTGGTGATCCAGGAGAGGCTGAGTTGAATTCCGACTTTGGTAGAGGCCACCAAAGTGCTCAAAGGGCCACTATCAGACGTATCTCAGCTTTTCTTCGCAAATCCAGGAGATTCCGACTTGGACCTGCCAACTCAATGAGTACAAGCATTTCTTGCGGGAGAAAGGGACCCCGACGTGTCAAAGAATGTGTCCACTAATCCAATCAAGCTGCTGGCTTGTGGCAGAAATTTGTGCCCCCAGTATTTGGAATTCTGGGACTCTAGCTAGCACCAAGCCCAGCTGTTTTTTTTTTTTTTTTTCGCATGTTTTTGGATTGTGACTTGTGACACTAACAACACTGGTACATCCTATCCCTTCATTCATTGGTTTCACTATAGACCTCGCATCTAAAAGTTTCAGAGTCTACTTTTGCCGCACTTCATCATGATCCGACCTTTGCTTCGTTTGGTTCCCGGCACACTTCGCCCCTGTTCGGAAGCTGTAAAATATAGGCAACTCGAAAACGCGGCGAATCGCCGTTGGAGGACCGTGACGTGCAGCGTCTCATGGATGAGTTGGATTTGCCACCGGACCGGGCCAATCTCTTCGAGGCGTCGAACTCGTGGTTGGCCGCACGAAGCTACCAGTGGAGGCCATCGCTAGGTTGGAGGCCATCGCTACTAGGAGCAAGGACGCTACTACGGGCTCCTGGCATACTAGAAGCAAGGACGCTACTAGGGGCTCCTGGCCGTACTACTAGGAGCATCCTCACTACCAGCAGCAAGAAGCTACGAACGGAGCATTGGTTGGACTTACCCAGTTCGTGGTCGGATTCGACCAGATGTGCGCTCAGAGTGAGCGACGGGCTCATAGACGGCCTTGAGGGCAATTTCTCTTGACTGGTTGATGAATACAAGGGAGAGTCCCTAATGTGTACAATCAATATAGGCATGATGTTTAAATGTATATTTAATACATATCGATTCATATCGATGTATATAGTGGCATCGATCTCTCTATTCCCAAGGTTGGACATCGGTGGGGTGGCTGGAATGGTTCCACAAATCGCACCAGCTTTCGGTGGCTGGCTTCCCGGACCACAGACCGGACCACGTTGCGGGATTGGCGATGGAGTCAGAGTTTCAGACGAGGACCAATCCTGCTTCGACCAAGCTGTTCAGACTTGCCTGATTCAAGCATGTAATTGTTGTATATCAGGAACTCCACGTGGAGTTCTAAACTCTTCCGCCATCCTGGATCCTTGGCAGAAGTGCAGCACAAAGGATTTACAGCTTGTCAATGATCCATCTCATTCTCGTCATTCTCCAGTCCATGTGGGGCGACTCGGTCGCTCCCTCGTCCCGGTCCTGGACGGAGGTCATCGACGCGGACGGCAGCGGCACGCTTCACATCACCGAGCTGGTGCAGGAGACGACCGACCGGTGCACCCGGTGCACCCCATGAAACCCACGAAGTGACGAAGGGAACCGGTGTGCGTTTAAAGAGAGGCTCTAACAAAAGATAAAGAGATAATGAGATGTAATATATATATATTACATCTTAGGCACGTTTTGACTGATGATTTCTATTTACCATGTTGGATTGTACGTTTATTCTTGAGCTATAGCAATTTGAGGGAATCAGGACAGAAACGGCGACTGAAGAGTTCCTAAAATGCCCCCTTTGTCCATTTTGCCATTCTTTGCCGTTTGGAGGGCTTGCTGAAGATCCGCGGGGAGATCAAGAAGAGCGATGCGGTGGCCGCCTTGTTGGCCACCAAAGCTGTCCAGAGTATGGTGGCAGACACTTGTGTCAAGGGCACTGAGGAGATGTGAAGGGTCGAACGGTGGACACGGGTTGAACAACTTTTGATGTTGTTCAGAGCCCCATGTGTTGGTTGAGTCTACGACTACAGGAAGCGTCAGGATGCATAAATCTAAATACAGTATATATATTTTCAGATGGGTTGACCGTTCACTGCTGACGCATTCTTCGTTCCTCTTTTCAGGGCTGATCACCGGTTCCAAGGTAAGGTATACAGAAAGGACCATAGATTCGAAGCGTCAGTCCTTATCAGACTGAAGCTTTTGAAGATTTGCTGATCGGTTGGAGCTCACAAGATGCTGTGTCTCCAAATCTCCAAAGTGGCTGTGCACCTGAGGCAGATTATTTGAACCACGTAGTTTCCGAAATGAAAGGTTCTTGTTGTTTTTCACAAACTTGAAAGTTGAATCTCCCCCGGACCTGACCCACCTTTCTTGTTCCTTGCCAATCATGGAGATTCTAGTCTCGCGTCTCGCGTCTCAACAATGGTAAAATGGAGTCGGACTTTGGCCCTGGTCACCTCGGTTTGGCTTTGCACCTGGTTCACCTCGGGAAAAGGGTCAGATGGGTCACACGGAGTCAGAATGGGATTGCTGTTCTGCCGTTTGTTCCAGATCGCTGGTTTCGGGGTTCAAGGTGAGGTGACATTCTAGCTACCCCAAAAGCCTTCAAGGACCATTCAAAGAATTTCAAAGAGTTATACTTTATCTATATAGTTGACCTGGTGTTGTAGTCTAAACTTCCTATGGTCCTATAGTAAAGCGGCTGGTTGTTCAGTCAAAAGCATTAAATCAACGTTGGACGCCCTTTCTTTTCGGGGTGACAACGCTGAGGAAATCAAGGAGCTCTACGAGAAGAACTTGGATGTTCTAAGGTCGACTCTGCAGACTGAACTGAGTTACCTGGTTTCGCTGACATGTCCGGTGATTTGATGTGATTTGTTTTGTTTCCTAGATATTATATATTATATACTGTAATCCATTATGATCCTATGCATATATATATTGATTAATCTATATATACGTGTATATATATACGATATGCATATATGAGTAAATCGTGTTTTAAACTGTTTGCGTGTGGAGCTCTTTGGGCTTCCTTTTACCACATTCCAAGGCTACATCCGGCGCATGAACTCCAGAGCACCGGCTTCGGCCTTCCGGGTTGCCAATCTTTGAGTCGGCGCGGCACACTGTCCCTGGGAGAAGTGCTCCAAGGGTGTTCATGGACCCAGAAAGAACATAACAATTTTGGAAATATCATTGACTGCGATATGTTTCTTTTTAACTATCATATTTTATCATATCAATGAACAACTGTTGTAACATGCAACAAATGTATACGTTTGGAAGGATTCTGAATGTTTTTTTGTAGGAACATGCCAACGACTATGGCCTGCTGGAACACACTTGGGCGAGTCTGCACGGCAACCGGCATGACCCACGGCGTGAGGGGTTTGTCGTGCGTCAATCTCAGAAGTGTCAGAGGCCAGAGGGCAGCCAAAGTCTATCAAAGGTAGAAGAAGACCTGTGGGCGGGCCCTAAAATGGGCATCCTGCACAAATCGTCCCATCTCATGTTTATTTTTTCAGCTACTGTCCAGTGATCCATCCAAGATGGATGCTGAGATACCACCGGAGTACCGCAAACCGCCGTACCATGGGTATGACGGACACATCGTAAGGAAGTAATGTGAAGTAGTGGTGTGCATTATTATGTTCATCGTGTTGTATCTCATGCGATGATGTGTGGAGTGGACGACTGACTTTTTGTTTGTCAATTCCTGACGATGTGCAATGTTTTAAAGCAACAATCTTCATGCAGGTCCTCACACCTGCAAAGCATGACACTTGAGTGTGCAACTGGTCTGGAGTCACCAGGTGCTGGTTCGCAGAGGTTCAAAAAGCTTTGAGATATTAGTTTTTATGTGTTTTGGAGCTACATAGTCTCAAAGTACTTTGGAAAATTGGCAACAGTACATGTTTTATTTGGTAATGCATTTTGCAAGGTACTTCGCAGGGTCCACATACACTATGTACCATCTTCTGCTGCACGCACAGCATGTAGAATCGGTTTCCAATGGTTTTCTTGCGGCTTCATGATCGGGGTACCATGCACGCAGAGTGTTGTGCTTCAAGATGTTTCAAGAAAACTGGTAGCCCAGGCTGCTAATTCATGCTAATTTCGCACACTACCGTACCACCCCTGCCAACCAGTATATAGATATAGAATGATATAGAAGTTCACTGATGCTAAGCCACAATTCGCAGAATGTCAGTATGTGTTGTTCTTTACATTACGTTCAAGGGCTGGATAAATACAACTGGGTTTCTTGCAAGTCTCAGTTGGCCAGACTTGAGAGTCCCTGATAGACGGAATGCTCACACAACCTCCACACAAGGGGCTGCACCCTTCTCCGACCGTTTGCCTGTTGGCTCGGATTTTGTGAAGGCCTCATCAAAGAATCTCGAGTACCAACCTGTCATGACATGGCTATGCTCTACGTAACGAATCAGTCATCTCTGAAAAACTACGGCCCATTGCTCATCATCTCTTGATGCCGTTTGAAGCCCAGTTCTGCCAAGACATCAGATCAAAAGGTCACAGATTTGAGATTTGTCGACTCCACTTAGCATCCACAATGGGAGAAGAGGATGGAGAGGCCATCTATGGATGCAGGGGCCAAGGGAGTGTGGATGTCTTGTATGGCCGGAAAAGGGAAAAATATCCCAGACAGTCAATTTGTGTTTATCAATTTTTGGAATAGTATACATTGACCCCATGTAAGTATGCCATACATAGAGTCTCATAGAGTGTTTGGGTATGATGATTAACCCCTTGCGGAGAAGTGCTGAGAGCCACTGAAGTGCTGAGGTGGACCTGTGATGTGCAGTGCTTGCATGCACCGCACTGGGTAGTTCCCATCATATTCCATGACCCATTCCATGGCCACCCAGAGGTGAGGAGGAACGTTGACATCAGCGTGTTGCACAACGTATTGCGTCCACTTGGATTTCTTGTTGGGTCACGGGAGACCACATTCCTTTTTGGTGTTTACTCAAATTATTCTGCAATCAGTGATTGAAGGCCTCCAAGCTGTTTCACCTCCTCAGGGGTTAAGGGTAGTATCAAGTAGTCTCTAAAATTAAATAGATTCTTCATGATTAGTCGATTCAATATCTTACAGGGTGCCATCAGATGCTTCGGCTTTCGTGTTTGGGACCAATTTTGGGGATTGGCTGCTGATGTACTGCCGATGAACTGGCGACCGCTGGGTGCACCCGCCGCAACAGGCGACTTTCGGGCGCTTTCTGGATGCAAGTTGGGAAGTCTTTCGACAACAGATGCTGGAGGCCGTTTCGTTGGAAATGGCCGAAGAACGACACGAGGACAAGATTGATATATGTCCGTTCGATTCCGTTAGGCATCAAGAAGGGGTTCTCACAACGTGTGTTTCTTTTTTTTAGATATGGTTTTGCGGTGAGTTGTGGTTCGCCTCCCTGGCGATTTCAGCATCATTTCAGCATTGTGACAGAGAGATGTTTCATCGAAGAAGTCACCCCCTGCAACGATCACCATGTGTGTCTTATGCTTCCCGACGGGTCGGTGGATGTCGGTCGTTGGCTCCGGGCGAGCGCTTGTCTCATCTCTTCAACGGTTGTGTTGAAGACTTACTTGAATAAAATATGGACCCCTATTGACTATTGACTCCTATCGGCCTGTCAGACCCTATTGTTAGCTCCAACAATGTTGCTTAAGGTCGGTTCTTTGCGCCAGAGATCACAACCTGTCCCAGAAAGTCTTTGGAAGTTGCCTCCAACCACAGCTGTGGCAATTTCAATGAGAAAGCAAGGCTGCTGACGATACTACTGCAGGTGTGTCCTTTGGATCATTCAAGACTGAAAGATGGTCCTGGACAGTATCCCAGAAATCCCAGGACCAAAAGACCAGAGGTCAACAAAGGGGGCAAAGTATCGCGGGAGGCATTTTCAGTGGTTGGACTGGTCTTCTCCCCGCGGATCAACTGATTGACTCGAGTAAGTTGCCACCTGGAAGACCCCCGGGATCGATGCACGGGAGTGCCAGCTCCGCACGTCGACCAGCGCACTCACCGTCGACTTGTTGCGGTCGCAGGGATTACAGATGGTTACAGGATGTTTACGGGTGCTTCACGTGCAAACAATGCAACAGCAATGTTTCATATTAGAATCTATGATTTAGATGAACATGTAACATCAATCTATTAATCTACACATATTTAATTGTCCCCATGATGGTTATCTAAGCTTGGCCGCCGCATCAAATTTGTTTCCCACTGCAACGCGCCGTCGGGACCTTGCAGGTCTACTCGGTGACGCGGGTGGGCCTCGACGAGAGCAATCTACTGCAGACGCTCGGCTGAAGCGCCCACGCGGAAGCGCCAGCCACCGGTGACCCAGACACAAGCTGTTTGGCTCTGGTACACTTGACCCGTTTGGCGAACGCGGTAAAGAGGCCAGGGCCATCAGCCATCGGCCACGAAAGCTGGTGTTTGGGTGATGGCCAACGACCAGTCTCTCCGGAGGGCGAAGAATGTGGTGCTTTTTGTTGATCGCTACAAGTACTAGTAACATCTAGTAACAAGGGCATTGCTTCTAGTAAGAAGTGCATCGCTATACTAGTAGCTTCTTGTTACTAGTAGGTCACGCCCTTGTTACTAGTAGCGATGCCCTCGTAGCGATCGACACCACGGAGGTAGGACCGGAAGTGGGTTCATGATTCGCCCCCGTCAACCGCCCTCTCCTTCTGACTTAGCTCGCATTGTTGCTGTCTTTGTTTGACAGGTCTTGCATATTCAAATTAAGTTGTATATGTATATATTTTAAATATGTATTCTGTATTTTTTTAAGACGACATGGCCATGTAATGATGAAATGCCATGTTTTTTTTCTTGGTAAATATATCCGGTGAATTCCGGCGATTGCATCGCAACCTCAACAGGCTCTTTTGGCAGGCGCTGCTGGACTGCTGGACCGAACTATGACCAAATGGACACCAACAGTTTCGTACCAATGGAGACTTCACTGGGCCTTATAAATTATAGTTGGATTTTCTTGACATTGTGCCTGTTCTTATTCTTTTGGGCCGCAGGTTGTGTGAAAGTCAGGAGCATCACTCATCACAGGTGCAATAAACCTGCACTGACCCGGATCGAACAACGAAGACACGAAATCATGGGAAGGCCACAGTGGCATCCTTCAAATCTCACCCAAGAGGCGTATAGTATGCGTTTGATCTTAAATGATCTTAAGTAGAGTCCCCCCCTCCAGTCCATGCCAGTTATGACTTTCCCGGGTGCAGACACTGGAACCTTCCAAGGAAAGTCATGGACATGGAGTTGGAAATCAAGAGGCTTCGCCAGTTCTCTGAGGCGCGCCGTCTCGATGGCTTGGTGGATGAATCGATGCAGATCCCCCCACATGGTCGGACTGGTACGTTCGGTATATGGCCGTGTTCGCCCGACCAGTCCGCCATTGTGCCAGACCTTCATGTACAGACACCATGTGCCTTCAACCGCTTGGTATCTTGGTGCCATGACCAGTCCGCCATATATCATAGATCGTGTATCATATATCTTGGTAGTGTATCTTGGTGCCATATATGATGTTTGTTATGATGGTTTTGTTACAATGACATTACTGTCGCACCTTCCCCCCTGACTTGTTGTACGTGCCCTGTTCTCCAGCATCCGCTGTGCGTTTCCACTTTGTGTGAGATCTTTGTCGCTCCATTCAGGGACGCGGCGGCCTGGAACCGCTTCTCCCAGGCCCATGCATTGTAAACGGACCAACTCAACAAATTTGAGTTGTAACCAGAGCTGTACAACACTCACTGAGCAGGATGTCTCGATGACAATCCAATTCCATATCACTATCCAAAGTTTACAAAATCATCCTAATCCCCCGTCCATGCAGAGACTCTACCAAGTCTGGTGCTAGACTCCGGAATTCCGATTGATTGAGCGGCAGCATATCGTTGGATGCAGAAGATGAAGGAGAAACCCGTGAAGAAAGAGGCTGCCACCTGCCATGAATTTTGGGGAACACCAGCTTCCAGCCTCAGAACTGCCCAGACGCGACCCTGGACCCTCCAAAGCAGGGACCGTAATATGAAGGAGTCCGGACCCTCAAATCCCTAGG